ACAACACAGTCACAAGTACAACAGAGGACTCGTGCATACAGCTGCTGGGCTCTCTGGTGAGCAACAAGAATTACAGTTGTCAACATGAGATGAAAACAACAAGCTAGTCCCTGTGAAAATGCAAGCCGTTTAGGTTGTATGCGATTCTTAGGGTCCAGTCCTTGTGACCACTTTATGTGTGTGTATGTGTGGTGGGACAGCCAGGGCTGGTACCAGTGCCCGGCGCAGTTTTAACAAACTCCAGATGTGTCTGGCTAACCAGCCAGTTGTTCTTGGCAGGTCTGCCGCGGCTGAATGTCACAAATACTTTCCTTTATTTAGGAATGGCTCGGGGTTAGTGGCTGGAGGAAGGCGAGAATGGATGGGTGGAAGATGGGAGAGAAAAGAGGAGAGGTAGATGAAAGGAGCAATAGGACATTTGTTATGTGTCACATTAATTGGTGTAAAGGTTTTGAGGGGGGGGGGGGGGGGCGAAGGTAAGCGATGTTTAAGGGCAGAAGATGGAGAGGGAGGAAGGACGGAGGAAGGAGCGGCGAGGGGACGAGAAAGAAACGCTCTAGTCTAGCATCTGGATTTTATTAGCAGGCGTTGGGAAAATCTGAAAAGGAAGTTTTTTCTCTGCAGGCACGTCGGCAGCAGTGATATGCTGCACATAACCACTTCACAGCCGACGAGAGGAGCCGGGCCTCCCAAAGGAGAACAGATGGTTGCTAGGACTTCAATACAATTGCATCAATAACAGCTTTCACAGATATAAGCGCTGTATGACAGGATCCCTGCAGCTCAGACAGACAGAAGTACAACTCCTCCACCCAAAGCACCCCTAACCCTCAATTCTCACTCCCTGCCTGTCCTCAAGATATGCTGGTTTTTATTTACGAGTAAATTTCTACTTGGAAAAACTGTTGACTTCCCAATAACTTGCTCATGATGGTCTGATCAAAGACAGGAGGGCTTTTGTCAGTGCTTATTAAGGAGAACCAAACCCCCTCATCCAGCTTGTTTTTTTGTTCAACATGTTTGTTCAGCCGGCACTGCATGTGTACTGTCACAGGGATTCTCAAGTGACATAGGGTAAAATATGTGTTTGTGTCCGCAGCGTGAGCATATGCACTCAGCAAACCTGTGAACATGTGTGCATTTATCTGTGCATCTATTTGTGTGTGTGTGTGTGTGTGTGTGTACACAGGCACTGCACAGGCCTGTCTCCCACCCTTTCATTAGTGAAGGCTTTAAAGCCTCTGAACTCTAAATCAGCTCAAGATGAAGCGCAGTCTGGGAGGCAGAGGCAACCCATGTGATGACACGCAAATACACAAAAAACACACTTCCATCTTACCTGTGACACAGATCAGACATCCCACTCATAGAAAAGGCATCCATAAGAATACGGAAGTTTTGTAATGTAGATTTTAGGTTCGTGGAAGATTATTTAGTGAGCGTGTCGTTGTGATGTCAGCAGTCTATTTCTTTTGATTGGCTCTTGTGCTGCGAGCGCAAGAGTTTGTGTTTGGTTGTGAGAGGGTTGTGTTGGTGCCGTACTCCCAGGTCTTCGGTTGAAGTCACAGGGCTAGAATCCCCATGTTTTGATACGAAGGCCTGGTGGGAGGCTGGGGGCCCAGGGCTCAGGCTCTGTTTGTGTGGACTCCTCAGCGGCCTGATGGGGAACAGATGTGGGAAGGCAGGCGGCCGGGCAGCCAGCCAGAGCAGCTGGGAGAAATTAAAAACAACAGCATTCCTGGAGACATGGGGAATTACAGTGGGAGGGAAAGAGCGAGGGATGTAAGAAGCGAGAGACAGAGGGAGAGTTTTAGGGCAATGTGGTCACTGGAGAAAGTCTCGGTGGACTACGAGAGATTGTATAGACAGGGGGATTTAAGGGGACTATTGTGCCGTGGTTCGCTAAAGCTAATACATTGCAGCTGTATTTCCAGTGGAAGCACAAGCTCACATGCACAAACACAGAGGTATGCATGCAGTCAACAATAGGACGTATGCCAATGGGAAATGAGAACAAAATGGATCTGAATGACCCTTTAAAGGCTTGTCATGACATGATGGTACTTTTTTGTAAAATTTCTTATAGGCTTAGTGGAGGCACGTGTCCATAAATCTATAACGAGAGCCTAAAAGGGCTTTAGAATGTTAGACGAACCGCCGCGCAGTGTGCGTGCAGCGGTCCAGTACGGGGTCGTGGTTTTATGAGTCTCATAGTGAATTGTTTTTCATCTTGTTTCATCATGGCGCAAGAGGAGAGTAGAAGAAAGAGAACATTTTTAGAACTCAGCCTGCAGGTTCTCTGGTGTGCAATATTTTTGCCCCAATTTTGTGAAACGGGCAGACATACAGCTGTTCAGAGAGTTGGAGCGACACAGACATACAGCAGCAGATAGGCAGATAACGACAATTGTTTTATTTCCAGCCTAATAATCAACAGTTAGCTTGGGTCTGATGGCAATCTACAGATTTCAGCTGTATCGATCCCAAAGTGACTCCTCTCAGAGAGTCAGATAAAAACCAGATGGGGGAGATAAAGAAGCCTGCAGACAGGAGCATGAGCACGGTCCGAACCGGGGTCACAGGTCTGTTATACCTGTCGTGTCATCTTGCTCTCTCTCTCTCTGGGTTTGAGTCGTTTTCTCCTTCAGCACAATGCACAATGGGAGCACAGATGGCCACAGATGGGGTTGCAGACCTAGCAGACTTCTAATGTATTAAAAGTGGAATCCAGAGCATGATGTGTATGTGTGTGCCCTGTGCCTGTAGCTGGTCAGATTAAACAGCTGTCTATAATCCCACATTGGATGCAGACAGACAGACAGAACGGTCCCCTTATCCTCCTGTCCTCTCCTTTCCTCCTCCTAACGTACCAATGTGGGAATAGTCTAGAATCAGTATTGTTTATTATCAGTATTATTATTAATACATGTTATGATTTCTTTGTCAGGACGTCTTCTGCGTGTAAGTCCTCCAATGCACATTGCGTATAGTGGCACCGTACAATTGATCAAACACAACGTTGACTGAATCGTAGGCTGCCTCGCTACAGGAGGCAGCCCACCAATTCGGCAGCACAGATAGCCTGTTAGGCCCTGTTTGTGTGTTTAGGGTTCTTTAGAATGGAATGGCTATTTATACCAGGCCTCCCCATCTGCCTCCATCTACAACCTTGTGTGTTTATGTTCAGTGCGTCTGGCATGGGGGAAAACAGCGCAGTGCCCCTCGTGTTCTTGAGGATCACTGTGTCAATGGCCCTCGTACAGCACACTCCAGAGTGGCACTCTTTAAATACAGACACCAGCTGTTGAACGCTTCTACATGAGCTCTCAGAAATAGGCTAACACCAAGGACTAAGGCGGGAGCCCTACGGGGGGGGGGGGGGGGGTGTAGGGTTCACAGTTCGCTCACCAGGAGTAAAATGACAAAACGTATTATTTAAACGTGTTTGTTGACGACCACAATACATGCAGCTGTGAAATAGGTTCATTAACAGTTTTCAGAGGTATGGAAGGTCCTGGCTTCTTTGGTCTGGTATTGTTTTTGTTATTAGTCGGTAACAGAATCACGACCTATAATAACCTCTTTCCCCGTGTGATTTGTAGAATGCCAGTGTCATAACAGGGCCACCCTGGCAGCGACCTCTACCTCATTGTCATAAGGATTTTTTGGGATTGGTGTTTGGGTTCCAGGCCAAGTTAATTTCTCCTGTGATACATTAAGCTGAAAAAGAAAAAGAAAAGCGGAGAATTATTGAGAATCAATAAAGTCTACAGTGTGGTTTGCATCTGCTTTGAGCATAGCAAAAGGTCTGCTGTCCTCACAGTGAGGTTAAGTGTAGCAAACACACACACTCACACATGCTGCAGACATTGATTTCATTGTTTTTCACTGCATAGTGCACATTTAGTGTGCCCCCTGCCAGTTGTACACATACTCTAAAGCTATATTTTCACAAGTCATCACACCTCGTAGCTCAGGTTTACATTACAGAGAGATCTGGTTCCAGCAGCTGCAGTGACAGACGGACGCATGGACAGAAAGACAGTCAACACTCAGCTACACAGCTACTGTACATCACTAAAAAACAGACCTACTGCTTATTTATTCATCATATATATATATATATTCAAGTTTGACTAGTGTAGGCAGGCAGTGTTGTGCTTGCCAGTGTCTTTTGTTGAAGACACACCTGTGTGCAAGCGCTGCGTGCGGCCCTTTCCAACAAATACAGGACGTATGGCGACAGTCCTCGCACACTTGTGCACAACATCTATACCCTGTGTCGTGTCTTCTTATGTATGTCCCTTGCTGCACCATCCTTTCCCTTCACCCTACACAGCCTGGCCTTGCCTTGTTTGGTGCTGGCAGGGTGTCTGGCAGGGGACAGTGAGGCTTCTGGTAGCAGGACGGATCTCTGCTGAAAGTCCAGTGATGGACAGCAGCAGATCCAGCTGCACTTGTCACTGGCTGTCAAGCCGGCTGTCTGAAGTGAGGGACGAGAGGGGACAGGCAGGAGGGAGGGAGGAGACGTTGGGGGGGGGTGAGAAGTGTGTGCACGTGAATAAATGTGTATGTGTTTCTGTGCGTGTTCGTGTTGGTGTGTGTCTGGGGGTTGGAGGTTACAGTGCAGGGGCACTGATTGGGATGTCAGAGAAAGAGAGAGAGGGAGGGAGGGAGGAGAAGGGGGGAGGGGGACGTTCTCAGTCAGCAGCAGCTGAGCGAGTGAGCAGGTGTTACTGTATGTCTCCCGGGCCCATGCATCTCCAACGAGAGAGACACAATACAAGTTGGGATTCATTTCCACTCCCTGCATTGATTTGTTTGGTCTCTTTTTATGGGTCTTACGATTTAAGGAAACAATCGATGGTTCCCAGGTCAAAATGTCAGTGGCCTCCTCCTTAACCAGCTGTCTCTACTACGGTAGATTTTCTTCTTCCGGTCTGGAGCTCCGTCTTGATGACTGTCTTGCTTTTTTCCCTTCTTTTTCTTTTAAATCCCAGGTAGCAGAGTGCAGAAGGTTGGAACAATGCCAGATTCACCTGCGGATGTGAAAACCCAGCCCAGGTCCACCCCTCCCACCATGCCTCCTCCACCCCCGGCTGTCAGCCAAGCAACCAATCGCAATGCTTCATTCACACCGGCTACCAGTAAATCAAGTAAGGACCCCGGCGATTCTTTAAGAGTTTAACGACACCTCACGTCAACTTTCCCGCAGAGAGATACGAGCGTCTGCTTTCTAGAGTCCGACAACGAATGAACGGCGCGTGAAGCTTGCGTGCTGTGTGATTTATGTTTTCTTTGACTAGAAGATGATCCTTTTGTGAGGCATCGTGTTAGCAAGCAGGTGTGGTAAAAAAACAGTCAGCTGACAGCCTCTTCATTTCACAGCAGGCCGAGGGGAAAGCAGCCATAGATATGGGAGCTGGTATTTACAAATCATCTTGCGAACAAACATGCACATCTATTCATATGTTTTCTAACATGTGGGTAAAATGACATTTGGCCTCCAAATCAAAATTGTATTATAAATTTGGCCAACCAGTGGCCTAGAGGTTAAAATCAAACACTACGACGTTGTACTTTGTCCCTCTCTTTTATTCCATGTCAATTATCAACATCAACATCTACTGTCCACATTTTTTTTAAATGAAGTATTCTCGTTACAGCATTTCACTGATGTCTTGTTAACCATGTTAACCTGTTACATCTTAAAATAACTTGATTTACCGATTAGTCTGCTATGAATTACACAACTGAATACACTTCTGCAACTTCAAAGAAACTACACTGGACTACACGGCCACTCGTCACTCTCGTCACTGTCATGGATCCTCCGTAGAAGCTGAGTGAAGTGAGAGAAATCTCAAATATGTGTTTCTTCCCTGTTCTGGTGAACAAATGTTTAAATCACTTGTGTGTCAGGTGTTTGTTGCAAGCATCTATTTGTGTGTGTGTGTGTCTTTTGGTGTGCGGAATGCCCTTGGTAGTGGGACAAGTGTGAGCGCATGTGTGAGTGCGGCTGTGGCATTGTGTGCATTGGTGTCTGTGTTGTTTACCAGCTGGTTGTGCGACGCAGCGGTGTGTAGACTACTTTCTTCCCTATATAGCAGTGACGTGCCATGTTGTTTCACCTGCTGTGGCGTTCACAAGTGTAGCGCTCTCTCTTTTTTACCTCTCTCTAAAACCAGAATACAAGTGCTGCACGTCAGGATCACATGGGTTATTCCGTATGTGTTCAGGCCCTTGACGCGCAGATTAGAGTAGCAAGCACGCCTCAGAGGAGCCGCGGGGACTGTGGAGCAACAAAACTCCACATATTACTGCTTTCACAAATGTAGACATGGTGTGGTGTTACACAATGGCTCACGCAAGAGTCCTGGATGTAGTTTGAAAAGATAAAGTTAAGGCGCTTATCAAATTAAAGTTTCCGCGTCCAGTGGAAGTGCTGCTGTAATCAAATACAATCCTCTAACTAGACATTTTCATACTGAGACTATACTACTTGTTTAATCTGATAAGAATACTGATAGAACATGTTGTCATCATTAGTCATTCAAACACAGATATAATGCACATACATTTTTTTTCTTCTCAATGAAACACTGACGAGCCCTGACGAGAAAGAAAATTTGAGCTTAGTAAAATAACTTTTTTGTCACATAAGTAATTCTTAATTCATTTGAATTCAGCTCGCAAATAAAGATACGAAGACAGGTGTCAACGGTGTGTTTGCAGTATATTGGTGAGTTAGTTTGGGCTGGCATTACAATACGTGAGTGACTAGATCTGTGTATCTGTGAATGCTGAATCTATTCTGAACCGTAAAGCTGCAAATCTACTTTCAGAGGGCGGACATGTGTAGAGCCAGATTTAGCAACACACCTGCTATTGGAATAAAAGTAACACAGGCCACGGGACTATTTTTAGCCACTCCTTAACAAGTTCCTCTTATAGTTGTGTCCTAGTAAGTGAGTCAGTGAGTGAGGGGGGGTGAAATAGAGTAATAGAGGGGGGGGCGGTCAGATGGTACCACTTGCGAGACAGCTGAATTTAACACACACACACACACACACACTGATACGCTCAGTCAAACTGGCAGAAAATTGCTCCACTGAAGTCATGATGTGCATCATGGTGCGTGGTGTCAAATTAGCCTCCATTGTGTGCCCCTTACTTCTACTTAATCTTAAGTGCTTCTGCCCATATCACGCCCGCAGATCGTTCAAATTACCCCCAGGCCTTTTCCGAAACTACTGACCCAATTCACGTTGTCTCTTCCTTCTGTCTGCTCATCTGCAGTGCTGAACGGGAGCAGCCACTCTCCTACATCGCTCAACGGTGCCCCGTCCACTCCCAATGGCTTCAGCAACGGGCCGGCAATGTCGTCGACGGCCTCGCTTTCCAACCAGCAGCTCCCGCCAGCTTGTGGTGCGCGTCAACTGTGCAAACTGAAGCGCTTCCTGACCACGCTGCAGCAGTTTGGCAACGACATATCGCCAGAGATCGGGGAGAGAGTGCGCAGCCTTGTGCTGGGACTGGTGGTGAGTTGTTACTGTTTTCATGGGGAATTGTTGTGAAGAATCTTTTCAGCAATCTACATCCCCTACATTCAGCCTGATGGATGTTTGTTCATGCGATGCAGAGACTTTTACATATTGTAAAATCTGTCTTGTACTACAATCAGAAAGTACTGCGTCCTTGAAGTCACAGAAGTAAAAATATTGCAAACATGAAGAAGTGTCTGCAACCTGTTCTCGTTTTAAGTTATGCAGAATACTAACAGGATACGATAGCAGATCATAGAAAGTTTAGAAAATCTGTTAGAAAAGTGACTCATTGTCTAACTCCGTGTTGTCTCGGGCAGAATTCCACTCTCACCATTGAAGAGTTTCACTCCAAACTCCACGAGGCCACCAACTTCCCGCTGAGGCCGTTCGTCATTCCCTTCCTCAAGGTAAATGCTTTTTTCACAAGTGTTGTGTGAGAGAGATACGCTCCGAGCTCCCCGCTGCTGTCCATATGGCCGGTGTTCAGGACTGTGCGTCTATCTCTCCTATTGGCTCCTTCACTGTTTGCCTTAGTGTATCAGACCTACCGGCGAGCAATGAACCGCCGCATCTGGGACGTTGCAGCAATTGGCCGGTTTATGTCAACCGGACAAGTCTGAGAGAGCTATTTGACAGCCCTCAAACATCTCACACACACACACAATATAAACACCATAGCCACCACTGTAGAGAGAGAGACACGTGGCAGAGGAAGGTGTTAAGGGCCTTGTCTTATCTCATCCGGTCTCTTCATCTATTTCCCTCTTTTTATTCTCGCCCTAATCTTGCATTATTTCACTCTCACCCCGTTTTATTATTCCCACCGCCAAGCTCACTTCTTGTCCACTTAACCCCCCCCCCCGCCGCCACATTTACATCGGCTCAACCAATCTATTACTTTCCCACAACAGTTTACTTTATTCCTAATCCCGAGGTGTCTGTCTTCCCATCTGTTTCTCACCAAAGGCGAACCTGCCGCTGCTGCAGAGAGAGTTGCTGCACTGCGCCCGGTTGGCAAAGCAGACTCCAGCTCAGTACCTGGCCCAACACGAGCAGCTCCTCCTGGACGCCAATGCCAGTTCGCCCCTGGACTCCTCTGAGATCATGCTGGAGATGAATGATCACGGCAAGAGAAGGACACCTGACAGGTAACACAAGTCCAAATAACACAGGAGAACATACAAAAAGGCAGACTCTCTCTCACACACACACACACACACACACACACACACTGGTATATATGAATTATTTCAGGGTATTTCAGAATGCCAAGTGACAAGGGGGCGGCTATAAAACCCTCTGTGCAGGAGGCGGAAGTCTGGGCAGTCACGTTGCCCGTCTGCCAGCTGTCTGGGAGGGAGGGGGGCGATAAATGCACTGTTGGAGAAGAAAGAGAGTGTTTGAGAAGCAAAAGGGAGAGATAGAGACACACAAAAGAAAAGTGGAAGTGATGTACACTAAAAATGCTCAGCGCAACAAAGACGGACGTGGCTCGCGCCGCTTTATTCACCGTTGGCTGGCACTTCCCTTTTCTCAACTTACTGGCACTGTTTTTCCTTTCTGATAAATTCTTCACCTGCCTCTCTCTCTCTCTCTCTCTCTCTCTCTGTGGTTGCCTGACCCGCGGGCTCCCACAAGCTGTCCATATGTCAGGGATGTGTACAGATGGTGATGTGCTGACCGTAACACTGAGCGCGTCCTGAGTGGGGTGTGGGGAGGTGGGCGGCGGGGGTTTAGATGCGATGAGGGCTTGGAGCCGTGCATGCCCACTGTAATCCGCACACCTCCGCCTCCTGACCTGTGGCTTACACACAGCAGGAGGGGCTCGGTGGAGGAGGGGGAGGGCGGGTCAGGCCTACATTGTACCAGCTTTTTTTGGTTGTCAGATACCAGGGACCTGTACCGAATGTGCACGGGGACAACCGAGCACACACAAACAGACAAAAGCATAAACATGATTTCTACGCGGGGGCAGTATTGAAATCATTCGCCTCTGATCCCTCGGATGATAAAAGAGTGATTTGCAAGGGAATGCCCAGCTATTGCCATCCAGCTAAACAGATTAATATCAACACTCACATTTAAATTGTCCAGATGGCCTCAAAAAACAGCCTCTCACACACACACACACACACACACACACACACTTGAAGTACACAGACACAAATGAGTTCCACTGAACATCTGCCAAACACACAGAGTTCAGCCCACATTGCCCCTTAAGCCCGAGAGCAGGGTGGGAGGGAGAAATACTTGCAATGTAAGAGTCGGCTGAGGGATATTCAGATTAAAAATTTGAGACGCATGGTGTAGTTGGACTTGGCTTTGTTTGATACACATGGCGTACAGCTGTGCAAAGGCTTTTGGAAGAGCATCGCTTCACTGTAACTGAACAACAAGCAGCTCTCAGCAGGGCCACATGTTTGTCTGTGTGTGTGTGTGTGTGTGTGTGTGTGTGTGTGTGTGTGTGTGTGTGTGTGTGTGTGTGTGTGTGTGTGTGTGTGTGTGTGTGTGTGTGTGTGTGTGAGATGTTTGAAAAAACAAGTTCGTATTCCTTGCTAGACTCTCATCAAACAGGTATTGTCCTAAATATGAAATACTGTCATAATTAACAACAAACAATTATACATTTTTCATCAATAAATTGTTAGGACACAATCAGACATTATAAAAAGTGATGAAAGTCTATTCTTTGACATGTTTTTATTTAGGTCAATTTTCTGCCCCTTGATCTAATTTCAAGGGCATGTTTTCCTCCACAAGGAAGTAATACACTGGCATTGCATATTCAGCCTGGCAAAGCCATGGCATGTTTTCACATTACTCATTGTGGTCTGGCGAGGCCGTGGACATGCTGGAGGAAGATGAAGTAACCAGCACAAAAGCTATTTCGCTCGCTTCAAACATTAACGTGGCAACAACAATCTGTGAGAAATGAAACATACAGTGGCAGATTAGTTTTGCTAATGAGAGCAGTCATGTTAGCGTCAACACAATGTTGGAGGGGACCAAGAGTTCAAACAGCTGAACCGTTTTCATTTTCGATAATGTTTTAACCAACTCCCACGTGGTCCTTTACAGGACCAAAGACAGCTCAGAGCACCCGGATCACATGGCCAAGAGGCCGTGCACCATCAGCCCCAGTCAACGCTTCAGTCCCAGCACGGGCCTCCCTGCTCACCCGCCACCCAACGGCCTCCCCACACACCCTCCCAACGGCCTGCCCCACCCACCCAACCCCCAAGTGGGACCTCAACACTATCGCTTAGAAGACATGGCCCTGGCCCACCAATACAGAGACGCTTACAGGCACAATGAACAACGCGACGCCAGGGACAGGCTGCGGCAGACAGGTAGGACGGCTGCATTCACATCGCCGGATAGACCCATAGAACGTCTGACTACGGGCTGGTGTGTCAGTACGGCGGCCGTCTGTAGAGAACAAAGGCCAGTTGTCAGTCCAGTGCGGTAATCCATGTGGCAGTGCGTCTATATAAAGACCACATCCATACATGCCTGTATGCTACTGCAACCATATATGCTTTCCTCCTGCTTTCCCAGAAAGGAGAGCGATGCATTCAAGTTGTCATACCGATTTGATATAATGTAATAGTAAGGGACTATGATAGGCTCTTTATTTCTTTTTTTTTAATCATCTTTAATAGCTAACTTAATAATCAACAAAATACTATGCAATAAAACCATAACCATTTAAATCGCAGCCAGATATTAATTAATTTTACTCCAGCCCAACACAAATATAGGCAGACACACACACCCAGGTACTAATGCTGCGAGAATAGATTTTCAGCATCATTATTATCATTTATCAGGACTGGATTCATACATTCTTCAAGTTTCCCTTGCTAAATCATGGACATGACTCGTTAAGTATAAGAGTGTTTCGCTGCTTTGAGGCAGTAATACAGAATTGTGCATACGTGGAACATCTCACACATTTCATCGTCTTTCGACAGTACATGGAGCGCGCCAGGAGGAGGTGATCGACCATCGCCTTACAGACCGAGAGTGGGCAGAGGAATGGAAGCACCTAGATAATGTACGTTATACGTCACTGATACGTTTCAGTGAAACGTGAAATGTTGACAGAAAATAAAAATCTGAGTTGACGGACATCTGACAATGAGAGGTCTGTGTCAGTATTGTGAACTACAACAAACAGACACCTATCTGGCTCCCTGGCACCCAACCCCATGAAGATAAAATCACGTAGACGCGCAGAAACAGACACGCAGACGCAGAAACGGGGCCCCAGATGGAGCTCAGGGCCCAGCAGAGCGCAGCTCCAGCTGGGGAGAGCAGCTGAGACGAGAGCTGCAGTCACGGAGAGAACCGGCCAGGCCTGGACCCCTGCCAAATTAGAAACACTTCACTGAAATAAATATAGCTAACCCAGAAGGGAGGGAGGGGGTGGGGAGACAGAGAGGGGGAAAAGATGAATGAGAATTATGATATGGATTGAATGTCAACGACGCCAAACCCATTTAGCTCTGGAAACACAGGACAGGAAAAAAGTGACACTGTTTACAACAGAGGTGGGGGGGAGTGCAGAAAAGAGAGGGAATCTGTTGATTTGGCAGGGAACGGAGCAGAAGGGTGGAAGGAATTGGCTCAACCTTTTCATCAGCAGCCCAGCTGTTACATTATCGCTGTTGTAATGCTCTTAGACATTGAAATTCGCTGACAGGCAGACAATCCATGAACAGAACAGAAACTCGCAAACTGGCGTGTGCGGTATTTTTTCTCCAGTTTTATGTCTATTTCCCGTGCTGTGTTATTGAGTTGACGTTTAATTAATAGGTCATGTATTTGGGTTGTAGGGATTTACATTTCAACTAAATGGAGCACCGTTGAATTACTCCAGTTGATTAATCAGTAAGTGACGGCTAACTCGTCCTCAATCTCGTCCCTCTGCAGCTCCTCAACTGCATCATGGACATGGTGGAGAAGACGCGCCGCTCTCTGACGGTGCTGCGCCGCTGCCAGGAGGCCGACAGGGAGGAGATGAATCACTGGATTCGCCGCTACAGCGACGTAGAGGAGATGAAAAAAGGTGGGAGCAACGGACAGCACTGCCTTCCTCCTCCTCTTCCTCCTCCTACTCCTCACCACAACTCCTCCTCCAACACAGCTAGCAGCAGCGAGTCACTGCCCATAGGAACTTCCTCGGCTGCCGAAAGGCAGACAGGCAGACAGCCAGGTAGACAAACACACACAGGGTATGCTTTGTGAAACCAAAACACTGCAAGATACACAACACCGTAAGGTAGGGCTTAACAATCAATCAATTTAGACACAAATAGTGACTTGGAGTGTACTGTTCTTCTGCCAATGTACAAATGTAAGCTCGTACTGCGAGGCAATACCGATCTAATTGCAACACCCTGGATATTTAACCAACTGATGCACCACTGTGCTGCCAGCATGCTCATTTGTAATTAACATTTGTATTCAAGTCCAACTCCTCACTAATAACAGAAATGGTAGAAAAATGCATTATTTACTGATGTTGCCGCGGACATAGTGTGTATTGGTATCAGACATGCAGAATGTGTATTCGTACAGGTCAGAGGTGAAAATGAACATTTATTGCATGTGTGTGTGTGTTTGATTGAGACTAAATGCTTGTTTGTTTCAGAGATCCACAGAGACTTCCTACACAGGCCTCCCTCAGGATATCTGCCAGAAGAAATCTGGAGAAAAGCTGGTAAGAGCCAAGAGCCATCCGCTTCTCTCTATTGTCTCCATGATTGACCTCGCGCGAACAAGAACACACACTCACCGTCATCAGTCTTCGAGGGCCTCACCCCGGCCACAGCCGCAGGTCTATCAGGCCAGAGGCCCCTCTGTGTCATTAGGGCTAAACGCCCTCCATCTGTCCCCACTGTGAACGGCCACTGCAGTTACAGCTGCAGTGAACATGCAGTAACGTGGCCCGAAGCACACACAACACACACACATTACGGCTTAACTGCTCTCCGTTGACCTCCATTGAAACACAGACACGCTCAAGTCGTTAAACGGCTTTTTTGTTTGTGTGTTTTTGTTTTCTGGTCTCATGCTAAATAATTGTTCATATTTTTGGCTCGGTAAGGGGAAGCAGGTATGTCAGATAGAGCCCATCCCAGGAGTCAACTGGCTCAGCCCTTGTTTTTCTCTCCAGTCCCAGCGCTATTATGTTGGAGTCATAAGCTAATACCCTGTATGCAGCACAGCAAAATACTGTGCTGCATTTTCACCAGCAGAAAGAGCTCTTTTAATTGCAGTTGTTTTTCATGCAGGTACTACGAGCATCCCGCTCTCCCCGGCACTAAAGCACCTCCAAAACAGGCAGGGTGAGTAACATATCTCACTTCATCTCAATCCCTTCTCACCCCGGTGTGTGGTTGTGTTGTGTGTGTGTGTCTTTGTGTGTATTCGTGAGCATGTGTCACCTCTATCTCAGCAGCCAGGTAGTCTGCCGAATGTAGCTGCAGCACCTTCTGCTTTAAATTAAAACCAGACACGTATTCTCTGGTCTGGTTCAGGTTGAGAGACTGCAGCGCCTTTGAAAGAGAAGAGCTGAAGTGTGAGAAAGCAGGCAAAAATAACACGTATCAGGGACTTGCCAAATCCCTGTGGAATTAAAACGTTAATATTGCTGTCCCCGTGTTTTCCATTAAGTGCTAATTGCCCCAGCATCTGCTGTGCAGTCTCCTTGATAAGAATTAATTAAATTTGCAAACTAATCTTAGTGGTGCATGCATTAGGACTGATAATTGAGAAGCTCGGGATAATGCAGATAGTGTTTTGCAAACATGAGAAGAAAGTGGAGGAGAAGAAAAGGAATTAAATTAAGGAAAAAGGTAAAGAGGGAAGGATGTAATGAAGGAAACCATTGAGACGTGGGTCTGGATGTTACTGTATGCTGGCGGGATTGACAGAATGTTAACTTTTTACCATAGCAATCAAGCTCGGACATACACACGCAGCCAGGCGCACATGCACAGCAAAGTGTTGGATAAGGCTTCTTCCCCTCCATTCTTTATGCACAGTTGTTTGAAACAAGTGGAGTGGAGCAGCAGGGAAAAGTGACAGTTATTTATGAGTTCACAACAAACATTAACTTCAGAAAATAGGGCGCATTGGAGAAAACCGTCACAGTCACACCTTCTACTTGGTTGGACTGGAACACCTGGGTAGGTTTTTGTATGCGTCTCCTTTGTGTCAACCATGCACAACCATGTGTCTTGTAATCTCAAGGTACCTAATTAGCATTTAATTCATAGATGGTGTGTTTCAAAACTTTATCTCAGGTGTATAATGCCTTCCAGAAAGCACTTACTCTACATATGTTGTGCACCATGAGGCCAGAAATTAAAGATGGCCAAATGTAATCACTTCTGCCTCTTACTGAGTGGAGACTGCGGGACGTTTCTATTTTTTGACTGCCATCTGGAAAAGAGTCTACACACCTGCTGTGGTAAAAACACAGCCACCTCACTTATGCAGTTTGTGCTTCTTGTGGAAGAACAAAAAGGCCCCATGATAACATTTACATCGCAGGATGCCCTGCAGTGGGGATACGGATGCCGACTGGCAGGCAAATGATTACCCTTCGCTGAAAAATTTAACAAATTCTACCAAAACTATTCTGTTAAAAAGAAGACAAAAGAAGAAAACTATGCAAACAGGAAATCCCGGGATGTTGTTTGAACAACCAAGTAAGAGACACATCTGTTGTCAGCGATGGAAATGATTGCGGCCACACTTGTCTGGATTAATTATTAAAGTCTAGTTGTTTCCCCGTTCTGGCAGAAAGTTTTAAATCTTAGATGATGTACATCTGTTCGCTGAGACACACCGAGATGGCAGCTTAGAGAGCCTCAAAGGACGGCAGAGTCAGCATGACGGGACGACGCTCGCTTGCGCTCACACCTCTCCCCCTCTCTCTCTCTCTCTCTCTCTTTCTCAGAGGAGGCAGTTAACGAAGTCAAGCGACAAGCTATGTCAGAGCTTCAGAAGGCGGTGTCAGACGCTGAGAGGAAAGCCCACGAGATGATTTCGGCCGAACGCTCCAAAATGGAGAGGGCGCTGGCCGAAGCCAAGAGGCAAGCCTCTGAGGACGCACTAACAGTAATCAACCAGCAGGAGGACTCAAGTGAAGTGAGTATCACAGACTCCCCGACCACATTTCCCTTCATTTCCCCTTCAATGCCTTCCTTTGTCTCACTCTTCAATGCTCTTCTGCTGCACCCGTCGCCCCCTCACTCTGTTCCCCTCATCCTCCTGTGATGTGTAGTCAATACAGCGGGCCGCTCTTGGTGCCGTGCCGTGTTGTCATCATTAGAAGTAGGAGCGGTCTAGTTGTCTGTGTAAATAGAAGCAGGCGGACCCAGACGGTTGGAGTTCATAGTGAGCAGTTGACCACCACCTGCTGGTAACAGAAACCAGTGGCCTTGCACCAGGATTTAAACCCTGGTTCAAATTCAAATCGTAGTACACAGCGTAACACAACATGAGCAGCAAAGTGCTTTTGTTGAGTTTAAACATATATTCATGAGGGACAGGGAACATTTTCCTGGGACAAAAAAGAGACTTATTTTTATCAACCCACTCCCCCCCCCCACTGTCTCAACAGAGCTGCTGGAATTGCGGGAGGAAAGCCAGTGAGACGTGCAGCGGCTGCAACACGGCTCGCTACTGCGGCTCCTTCTGCCAACACAAAGACTGGGAGAAGCACCACCACGTCTGTGGTCAAGGTCTGCAGGGGATGCCAGGGGGCAGCAGCGTCCCCCTAGGCACCCCCTCCTCCACCTCAGCGTCCTCCAGTGCGCCCCCCACCCACTCGGAGAGCACTCCTCCAGGAGCCCTGTCCTTGGCAGGCCAGGTCAGCGTTGCGGGAGGGGCTGGCGGCGGCAGTGGAAGTGTCTCTGCCAGCCCCAAGGAGAGCAGCTCCAGCAGCGTGTCTCGCTCCACGACCCCAGCCACCCCCGCCCTGCTGGACGCCACCTCTCGTTGACGTCGGGCGTTTGTCCCTTCCCCGCGTGCTGATGCGACGGTGCCCACACCCAAAACCAAACTGAGGAATCTTCATTGCACAGTGCTCCCTTTCCTCCTCCCCCAATCCTGTCCCCTCTCACCCTGAGCTCTCCTGAAGACCTTCTCACTACGTGATGATAGACTGACGCAACTGGTCTCCTTCTCCTAATATCATTTTACTGTCAGCCGGGGGGGGGGGTTCATTGTCGTGGGAAGGATGGAACGTGTTTCCTATCTCTGTGTTCAGTCACAGAAACATATCACAAACATGAGTTTCGACTTGAAGATGTGGCTGTGATGTATCCTCAGTAATTTAAGCACGTCACACATACTGTCTGCATGAGGACACAAGACGGGGGCTGTGGTGGGCAGCGGTGATGGGGAGGAGGACTAGGCTGATTAGCACTTGTATTGGATTTCCCTTTAATTTATCACCAATAAGAGTGCAGTACTCAGACCTTGACGTGCACTACCCGTGCACACAGTTCACTGATGTGGCACTTATTGTACAGCCTCTCAATGGAGACAGGCGAGGACAAAATACCTTTTTTCAAATGGATGAGGGAACGGGGGAAACCTGTGATGCGATTAATTCCTCAGAAACACAGCTTAGTATTTATTAAATGTTTCTTTCTGGCTTTAAGGGAAAATAAAGATTAGTCCAAATATTCTAAACAAGGAATAGAAGTGATGCCGATGATGATAATAACAAAAATAGTGAGATATGAAAATGAATTCATTTTAAACTGCTAACTACCTTGCTAGCGAGCCAAGAAAATCTACACCGGACTCACCTCTCTGCACCATTGTGAACCCAAATGAATTCAAAGATGAATGACAAACAACATGATCCAAACCTTTGTATTACACTGCCAAAGTGAGTAAGTAAGCGATAAGGAGAAGCACTCATCCTATAACCAAACGCAAAGCAACATCACCTCCTCAGCAGATAAGCCAACTCTGAGAAGACCAGGCTGCAGAACGGGAACCAGAGACAGTCAGACGCTTAAAAAGCAACCCGTGACCTGCTCTGATTCTGCCTCGTTTGGACAAAACTACAGCGATTCCTCCGTGATGGCCCAGACTAGTGAACAAGGACAATGCTGTGAACTTGCCTGCAAGAAAGACGGAAACCCTGCCACAGTGTGATTTTTCTTTTGTGAATGGTACCAGAGAGGAAAAGAGGAACGTAAAAGCTGCACAGCCTCAAAGGAGATACATACATGGCAAAGGAGCTGCCAAAAACCTCAAAACAAGCTTGAAAACAACGTCTGAGAAGGCGTTGCATACAAGGACTTATAAGAAGATCGTTTGTAAGTCTTTTTTTTTCCTCTTTTTTTTTTAAAGCTCCACAACAAGGACATAATTCAAGGAACTGGTGTTACCTTTACATTCACTCCCTCCTTTTCCAAAGCATGACAAACAGATAAAAAAAGAGCCTGGTGAAGGGCGGTGTAGACGTGGTTCTCCTCTCTCTTTCTACCTCCCCTCACCCCACACCTCCCTTCTTTACTGCTCCCACCCAACGACTTGGCTGAAGTCCGCCCCTGACCCCCCCCCCCCCCCAACCTGCCTCGGACAGAGCCGCGGAGCAGTTTTCTGGGAAGGGTTCGGAAACCTGCTTGTAGATATTGTTCCTCTTTCAAATTTCAATAATGTCTCTCGCCGCTGACGTCCACATGTGCTGCCCTTGTGTATATTCAGAAAGATGGACTTTAGTTTGCTTCCGTTTCGTTTCTTTTTCCTCACATATGTTACGGGCTGAGCAGTGAGGTCAAACCCAGAAGGACACTCGCCTGTGAGAGGAAGCCCAGCGTTGTACTTATTGTTTCATTTGTTGTATCTATATTGATGAGATGAAACCCCTCTTGTAGAATATTTTGTATTGCTCGCATTGTAAGACAGTGAGAGGACAGAGGTGCAATATGAAGAGAATTCAGCTACTGAATGGAACCTCAGCAACTGCCCATGGCGTATCATATAATATAGATACATATAAATATATTTAAAGTAACATCAGTAACTTAATGTGAATGTACATAGTATTTAAAGAGGTCCAAAAATGTGTTTGCCAAATAACAGAAACCTTTAAAGTAAAATTCTTTCACAGTACATTTATTTCTTACATTTTTCAATCTTTTCTTTTCTCCCCCACAAGTTCATCAATTTAAATTTTTACTCAAAGCAATGCGTCCCTGAGCGTAGCAGAGGTGGCTTCATACCGTGCAAGTTGCTGTGAAGAAAACAGATCGAAGGTGGATGGACGCTGCATGATTCATTCATTATTAATTCATTCATTTAGCCTCCATTTACAATATTTAAAAAAACACATTCTACATTCAACAACAAATCATGATTATGTTTCGCTCTATCTTCCTAATTTATATTTAACGGTGCAACTGAAACTCAAAGGTGTATCATGTGCTTCATTCACCCCCAATCTGTTTTCATCCTGCAGCAAGGGACTCAACAGATTGTGTAACAACAAAAGAAATCCCAAATATATTCAAATGTTTGATCAGAAAAAGAGAAGAGGAAATGGTCATGGCTCGGGTTTCAAATTGATCTGATTCATGTCTATAACATATCTAAGAATTGTCAAACTTGATGCATCATTTCAATTGTTCTGTTTCTGCCACTGAAGAAACCCCCTCGTTTGGTCCTCATCAACCTGTGTGTGTGTGTGTGTGTGTGTGTGTGTGTGTGTGTGTGTGTGTGTGTGTGTGTGTGTGTGTGTGTGTCTGTGTCTGTGTGTGTGTGTGTGTGTGTGTGTGTGTGTGTGTGATTAGTAACTGTCTCCCCGTGGTACAGGCCAAGCTATTCCTGTACGATTCAGTGACATGCCAGTGTTAAGCTGAAGTAAACCTAAAAGCTCATTTTGATACCCAATCTTTGCAACGTTGCTTTTGAACAGATTACTGTTTGTTTGCAAAGATGTAGGTTGAGTGTAAGCTAAAGATCTCCACAGTCTTCAGGCCTTTACTCAAAGCAACAAAGGGCCTGTAGCAGCCGCGCTCACAAACATTTAAATGTCGATCATTGTAAATGTGACACAGTTGGCCTCATACACACAACATAGATCAAATGAAACATTTTCATCACCAGATGCATCAAGTGATCATGTTTTTTGGACTATTTGAGACACATAATTCAAACGGGATAAGCTCCGAGGTACCCCTGTGACGTTTATGTATGTATGTTATGATCATTGTGATATGGTGTTGACCTCTGCCCCCCCCCAATGTCTAGCTCCTCCATTACTACCCCAGACCATCGTTCCCCTTAGCTACCTCCTGTGACCATACAGCTAATCACCAGGAGGGGTTGACCTGGACTTTCAAACGCTAGCAGACATGGTGGCGCACATTCAAACTTTTAATTGCATGATTGTGTCTGAAAATGATAATAACTAAATTGTTGAAAGGAATTGCCATTGCTCATGATGTTGGAAAGTGTCCATTCACACCAGACCTCAGCTGCTTGATCACATCCCACTAACCAAACTGATACCGCCGGAACTTCATAGCAGGTAAACAAACTTCAGAGTCAAACTTGCATACTACCAAACTCGACACAGAATCAACCATGGCATGCCGAAACCAATAAAAGCACAGACCAAAGTACTGCCATAATAGGCTTTGACACTGTGTGTATTGACAGACGAGAAATAATAAGGTTATAGCTTCAATACACCAGTTAACCAAAGTGTCTAAAATACACACAATCAGGGCACAGGAGTGAAGAGCATGTTTAATGTACTTGCTGAGTCTTCTCGAATATGTAGAATTTTCATTCAAGCAATCAAAGCGCTTGTTGTCTACATATTGAATACTGCTTCTGTAAAGATAATAGAAGCACCGTCGTTACAAAAGACTACTGATTGCCTGTTCTTACAGTTACAAAGCCTTGCAGAGTAAAAAAAATAAAAATGAATGCATGGTGGGTGGGTGTTTTTGTGCGTGTTACTGGTGGTGTGTGTGCTTTTGTTTAAAAAAAAGAACAAAAATTGAAAAAAAATCGTACCTTTTTCTTCTTGTCTCTGTACAAACTACTTGAAACTTTCAGAGCTTTAATGAAACATCCCAGACAGACTGTAATGGCAGGTTGATTCACGGTATGTAGCAACAGCTTTATGCAGAAAAATACCACATTTGCGCACACTATCCGCATCAAACAACATCATGATGACAGTTCCATTCAACTCTTTAATGCTTTGCGTGTGTTTCCTTGTCTGCAAGTAAGCCCTCAGATAAACTATAACAAAGCCAAACCCATTAGACCACTTAGAAATTACCAAAATACAACCAAAAGCCACAACTTTCTTTTCAGATTTCTCTTTGGTTAAGGTTTTTGTGCCATGTCCTGCCATCGCAGAAACATTGGACAACAATGGTGGGATGTGTGGGACAGATCCAGTGCTCCCCCACTGAAATTCTCCCTCCTGATTTCATTGGACGGGACACAAAATACCATGTCCCGTTACGCTGGGTGCGAGCTTCAATAAGTCCCGAAAAACAAATGTTGTTTGTCCCCAGCTGTCACGATACACTTGTCTCTTTGAAGATATCCGATGGCAAACGCATAAGGGCTCTGCTTTTTGTGAATATCATCCACGGTGTCTCTGAACACTTTACATCAGCCATTTTTCTGTTTTGTTTAACTATGTACATGATATGGGCAAGACGCATGTTTAGAAAAGGCAAATATTAGCAGGATGGCGTTTGTCTCTCCCTTACCCCGACCAGTAACTCTACCAAGGAAATGTCAAGGCTCATCCGATGTGGCGGAGACACGTCCTTCCTGTCAAACAGGCAGTGATAAACAGCTACAGCAGGAAGCTACAGTGGATACAGCACTTGTTTTCCCCAAAGCCATGGCTCAGGATGGCCTGTTTTTACCTTTACATACATTTAAAAAAAAGGGTTATGTTTTTTGTATGAGTAGGGAAGCATTCTATACTGTATTGTGCAATACATTATTACAGAAAAACATGTTTCTTTTGGAAAGGTTGGAGCTTTGAAGATCTTTTCCCCTTTTGTTTTATTTCCCTCTCCAAGAAGGTCCCGTTGCCGTTTTTAGATGAAGTTAACTGTGCCAGAAGAATTAAATTCTGATTTGTATTTATTTCTTGCATGCTTTCCTCCCTGTTGCTAATACCGCTCTTTAACTGTTCGCTCTGTTGGATGTGTGAAGCTGTAAAACATTCTAATTCAGGTTATTGTCTGTGTTGAACAATGTAACTGTGTAATTAAAACATGAAATGAAGTATTCATCACATCGCTTTTCTTCTGTTAGTGCTGTCTTATTCTGAGACTGCGTCCCTAGAAGAGGGAAATGATCCAATGTTAAAGAATCACTAAAGAAGATGTTCATTCCCGCATCAGAAATATGATAGCAGCAGATCTAAATGAAATACTGGAAAAGTGTTTAACAGACTTCTATGAAATCGTTACTAATCAGATGCACGCTCACAAACAAGCTCACTCCACAGCCCGCGTCCCAGTCCCAGTACATCAGGCTTTACACACTCAAAACGTGCTTCATACCAACAGACTGATGTTTTAAACTCTAGTGGAGATCTCACGGTATCAAATATGTCCGACTGACTTCAGAGAACTGTGTGGAGATCAGTGATCAGTGATCATTCATTCAGTACATGCATCATAGCCTCAATGAACAACTGAATCAATGAGATATTGTCAGACAAAAATTTATTTATTCCGGACCCTAAAATCGGGGGGGGGGGGGGGAAGGATCCGGTATTTCCTATTTCTTCTAGTTCCAGAGCGTATATTTTATCGTCTTCTTTTGTGTGACCCACACACTTGTCTTTATAATTTTAGTAAAATGCCCACAAAATCCATTAAAGATATTCCGTTTTATTGTGGAAGATAGAGACCATTTACTGAGTGTAGAACTCGGGATCCATTAATGTATTTCCCCAGCTGTAAACCTTTGGGGGGGGAGGAGGAGGAGGAGGAGGAGGAGGAGAGGTGGGCTACCATGTGCAGGGAGGCGGGCGCGCTCCTTGTTGATGCGCCAATGGGAGGAGGACATCGCCCAGCGTCTCTTCTCACGTGCGCGCCACCGTCAATCAATGCGGCGCGTCACGGGCTTCATTCACAGGTGATTCCTATTAGCGGTGCCGCCGCGTCCACCTTCGAACCGGTTTTCCTTCCCGCGGGAGGTCTGGCCCGCCCGCACGGGCGCGCGCGCGCGTCTGCGGCAGGTCTTGAGGAGCTGCAGTCCGCTTTGCAGATGCTGTGTCTGAGCAGTAAGCATGGCGGAAGATCATCTGGAGTACGGCTACCTGGAGGGCGAGTCCGTCGGTGCGCATTTCGCCGAGGACCCGGTGGGTATGCTCGCGTTAAAAGTCAATGGGGGGCAAAAAAAAGACAAACCAAGAAAAGTGTTGGGTTATTATTATTTTTTTCCTGCGCTCACGTCCCGTTACGAGTGGAACGCGAGCAGCGTGACGTTGGACACGCAGGTTCCTGCTGCGCGCTGTCGTCGTTATTGCTGCAGCGCCACTGGCTCAAGTGTTGCACACTCAACTTACTGACGGGGAGCCTCCGTTCCCGTGTAGATGCTGCTGTCCCGAAACCACGAGCAAGCTAACCACATCCCTGGTTTCAATGGGCTCCATGCGTCCAGTGGACCCTGTTCATTAAATATTTAGTCATTGCACAAAGCAAAAGCTGTCCAAGCAGCCCGCACCCTCTGGTCGTTTTATTTTCTCATATCCAACTAATACTTTTGCTCATTTGCAATTTGGGAAATAAAAAAAAAATGCAATAACCGTCTACACCCATCTGGGCAAGAATTAAGAGCAATGCAAATAAGGTGGTGCCACGGGAACAACTTCAATGCCTGCTCATCTGAAAACCGCCTGTCGTCCATATTTTCATAGGGATCGCTATTTATCAATACTGTTCCCTCCTCAGGCCTCCGGGTCATCATGCATTCCCTTTCCCCTTTCCAAAGGCCGGCTTTCTGTGCGTTCTCAACGTAAGCAGCAGTCGTTTCAATGTTCTCATTCCCTCTGCTTGTGCGTCTCAGGAGCTGGCGGCCATCAAGGCCAGAGTTCAGGAGATGGAGATGGAGGAGGAGTCTGAGAGAATGAGGCAAGAGGAGGAGAGGTTTGACGCGGTGGACATGCAGCTCCTGAACAGCAGCCCTCGGCTTGGTGAGACCACAAGTGCGTTGTATCCGCCGCCTGGTTTGTTACTGTGTGGCTTTGGTCTTCAGCGTGACGGCGCTCACGCATTTGGGAAGTATCTTCAGCCAGGTGTGTAGAATGGCAGCCTCCAGGCAGGTGAGGTTAGCTGCGTCCTTCACCATCTGGCTACCACCTGGGACGCATCACTGTGGTCACAACAGTGTTCGCTTGTGCCTCATCACTGCCCAATGAGACGGAGCGGGGAGCTCCAGAGGACCAGAAGGGTCCTCCTCCTCGCCGCCCGAGGCTGGGTTTTTTTTCACTTTCCGCTTCCTCAGTTTTTGGATCCTCCTCAGAACTGAGACGGAATCAGGAGGGGGGGGCCGTAGTCTGAGCTGTGCGTTAACAAAGACGATACAAGAGATGTGATGGTGAAATAATCTGTGTTCATTTCCTGGCGTGACCGCCCGCGTGAGCCGCGTTTACCTCCGGCCGCATGTGTAACAACAGTCTGTGCGGTTTGTTGTGTTTCCTGCACAGGACCCTTCTACAATATGACCCCTGAGGAGAGGATAGACGCAGACAACAGATCCGTCTATGTGGGAAATGTAAGACTTGTCCGTCTTTTCTTCGTACCTCGCATGTTTACATTATTCACATTCCTAATCGGACACACTGACCGAATCCCAGGTAGACTATGGAGCTACTGCAGATGAGTTGGAGATCCATTTCAACAGCTGTGGACCAGTCAACAGAGTAACCATCCTGTGTGACCGGTTCTCCGGTCACCCCAAGGGGTGGGTGCAGCCCGTGCATACAGTTTACACATAATACGTGTTTATACCTGCCAATATTTGCCCATAAAATACAACCTGGCATCAAGTTGTATTTTTTGTGTGTCCTTTTCTGCCCTTTCACAGCTTTGCATACATTGAGTTCTCTGATCCGGACTCTGTGCACAGTGCTATGGGTCTGCATGAGACCATGTTCAGAGGAAGAGTCCTAAAGGTGAGAATTGCACGACAAGAAAAACCCCTGAAAGTAGTTGAGTTCTCCCAACTGTCGGTCAAATATCAGAGGTTCCACAAAGCCAAAGTGGAAGGAATGTATGCTAATGTGTCATATTGATGGAAGTGTGTATATTCTAAGTCTAGACTGATTATTTGATTGGTTTAGCTGAAGTTGTACCCATCCACCCTGCAATGGAAGACTAATACCACCTCATCCCTGCTGTGGACTTGACAAATTCCATTTAGTCCTATGTACGGCGGTTACTGTAAACTTAAATCAAAAGGTAATATTTGCTTTGCTTGATCTTTACTCTAGTGTTCCCCCCTTTTTTAAGGTAATCAGTCACAGTTCAAACTATCCTGGTTCTGAGCTGGTCTCTTTGATTTGAAGTGTGTTGGTCTTCCGCCACATCAATAAATTCCCATGAATGTGTGTTCTCTGGCCTATAGGTAATGCCCAAAAGGACCAACATGCCGGGTATCAGTACGACGGACCGGGGAGGACACCGAGGCGGCCAGACCAGAGGCCGAGGCCGCGGGTACCGTCCGCCCCGGTACCAGAACAGCTCTCGAGGTAGGTTCCGGTACCAGTCCGTCAGGCCGCAGCACCAAATGCCCCACCCTTACTACGGCGGTCCGGCAGTGGGGAAGAGACCGTGGGGACACATGGACTACCAGGATCAGATGCCGAAACGTTACCCGTGTCTTCTTCTCATCACCCCACCGTCTGAGGAGTTGGGGGCAGGGGCGAGTGGGCAGCACTACCCTCAACAGCGCTAGCGCTGCCCCGCCGAGTACGCGCTAAAGTGGGCAGACGGAGCTGATCATTTTTAAAAGATGTTTACAGGTGTTTCTGAGTTGTGCATCATGCGAGATTTCCGAATGGACCGAAGAGATGACTTTCTAAGTTGCATCAGTGCTTTAAGAGATGTGAAGGAGGAGGACAGCGGCGTTGCGTTAGAAGCTTATGTTGCCGTGAATGCATGGGACAATCCTGAAATTGTTATGCAGTTGCATCTCTTACTGTTTTTACAAACCGATGCGAATGTATTGTGTTGCTGCATACAGTGTCTTGTATAAATCCTCCCTGTGTATAACTTATAAGTTCTTTGCTATGTAAGTGAATAAATAAAAAATAATGATTTGCTGATCCATCGTGCAGTAACAATGTAGCTTTATTACCGATGCATTTCATTAATCAAGGCAACATGTAAATGATTGGATTAGGGGGTTCTGTACAGTGGAGGCTCAGATGTCAGCCAGGTGGCACCATCATTCCAGATACGATGCCATCGAAGGTCCTGGAGAATGATTCGTAAAACAATTAGGAGTGTTGCAACCTAAATGAATATCAAGTAAAGCGTTAACTCACTTGGACTGAATAGTGTCTCCAGGATTGTGGAATGGGTTGCACATTACATCAGTAAAAGAGTTGTGCAACTTTCTAAACATCTGGGGAGAGAAAAAGTCCAATGCTTGTGAAGAAAAAAAACGCACTGGTGTCACTCATCTGCATTCTTTAAATATGGAGATTCTTCAGTGTCCAATGCTGTTTTCATGCAAAATACATTAGTTCCAATTCCAGTAAAAATGCATTTAGTCATCAGCACAATAAACCGAACATTTAGTGGTTTGTAAAGTGTGCTGACTGAAAGGAACAAGGGTCAATTCAGCACCTGCACATATTTACAACTACAGAGAGAATTCTAGTTGCAGAGCTGCATTTAATCACGCTACAATACGATGGGCTCAACTTACGCTTCTAATTTCATTGTCCCGTAATGATGTGTTTGACGAGTCCACAACAATGACAAATTTCACCTTTGAGTTGGTTACATATCCATACCTAGTTCACCAGTCAAGGATAATCGGTTACTCTTAAGTTTTTCAGATGTAATAATGCAGTGGCAATCCTAGTAAAATAAAACGTAAATCACAGTTTTACTTCGTAGAAGAAGCATCTAATTGAGAGATAAATCAGACTTCACGGAAAACAAGGATACACTTTGTAGTCCTCGGTGGGGTAGAGCAGACCGAGGTACAGCTCCCGCTGGTCTCCCACAGACTTTCCCACTGCGGAGATCTTCTCCTCCACCACATCCAGAGAGGTGTGCACGGTATAGTGGAACTTCAGCTCATTTTGAGTGGGCAAACTGCGGATATACAGCGGGTAGTTCTGGGAAAGGACACGCGACGACCAACTCTTTACAACCGTCACATTTTCACCACTTCCAGGTTGCACCAAATTGCAAACTGCAACCAAGAATGCTAATGTTGTTAGCTGCCTAACGTTAGCTGAGGAAGTCTTCCAACATAATTGGACCTTTCACACAGACCAAGAACGCTGACATTCGCTTCCATACAATCGTAAGAATAAGGAATGTGTTTTTTAATTTAAAAAAGACACCTAATTAACCAGGGACATTTAACCACAGCCATCATTACCTCCTTTGCGATCACTGCTATGCACACCGCCATGTTGGTGTTCCTTCTCTGGGCTGTCAGGCGCTGTCACGTGACGCGCTGCGTTCACGCGCTGTTGGACAAGCGGCGACCGACGAATGCATATTACAATGAACACTTTTACAGTACACATCGCAATTGATTGAGTTACCTGTTAAGCTACCACACGTTCGTACATGACATAATGAATTAGAACCACTACGCTTAAATTGATAAATCAAAAAAACACATTAAAACAATAGTTCTACTGCGTATGCGTTAATTTCGCGCTGATGACCCGCACGCAGACAAACAAAGCACTTCCGCAAAGTCGATGCTCACGTGACTTCAGCGAGCGAACCGACAGCACAACAATGTCCACTGTAACCCTGACTCTCTTTTATGCAATAATATGTTGCGCCCTGACAGAAAACATAGCAAACGTTTCGTCTCCGAACATTATCATAATGCTCATGGATGACGTAAGTTGTTTCCTTTGTTTTGTACGTGTCCTTGTGACTTTAGTTCATCACACAAAGCAGCACAGTCTTGTTTAAACACTGAATCAGTTTGACAGTTAAAAACGCAACTTCTCTTTTCAGGACCCAGTGTCACGATGTCAGCTCGTGTGTTTTTCCTTTGCTGGTATGAACTCTCTATCGTTTTGCTCTTCAGATGGGCTGGGGGGACTTGGGGGTGCTTGGCCAGCCCTCTAAAGAGACCCCCAACCTGGATGCCATGGCTGCTCAGGGGATGCTGTTTCCTAACTTCTACACCGCAAACCCACTCTGCTCCCCATGTGAGTCAGCAGAACGCGTTAGAATACAGAACTATACATTTTATATTTACAGCGTTCTTCCTCTATTTATGTTGTCATCGTCACAACAATGAAATGTTGGAATAACGCATGATTGATAAGAGTATAAACGGGACACAATTGAACCGACAACCCTTGTGATCTGTTAAAACCAAGCTTGCACATCGCTTCATTTAGATACAACATGCAAAAGCGAACACAACGTGTTATCAGGCATCCCCACATTACGGGTTTGTGTCAGTACACATAGCTTTGATATGACAATGAAATATAAATGTTACATCTGATTCAAGTATGCATTTTGTAATTTTATGAATGAATGAATGACTATTTGACAGTGTAAAAAGCATTTTGGAAGATGCTCTAATAATGTTATAATTTCTCTGGTTTTAACAACAGCCAGAGCTGCACTTCTCACCGGCAGGCTGCCTGTCAGAAACGGTTTCTACACCACAAATGGCCACGCCAGAAACGGTAAACTCAATACATCCTAATTGTGCAAATGATCCACCTGCAAATCATTGACTGCAGGCTTTCTGAATACTTGTATATCACGTAAGATGTGCAATATAGCTGCGGAAGGTCTATTAAACGCTTTTTTACATTTCCTGTAGCATACACACCGCAGGAGATGGTGGGAGGAATCTCTAAGGATGAGATCTTAATACCCAAGATGCTGAAGAAAAAGGGCTACGTCAGCAAGATAGTTGGTAAATGGTGAGCGCTACATCTTTCCGTAACCTTTGTTTCAGAGGGGATGTTGATGGCCACAGCGGATGGCATTTTATACACATATTTTATACCACATTTTTGAATATATCTTTCCTCTGATTGGTGGATTGATACAGTTGATTACACACACTGCCATCTCTCTTTTAGTTTCCATATGCATGCACCACATACTGTATGTCTACGGTTTCATACTGTGGAAGCTCTTCACAATGATACCACCATACCAAACGCACACTTTTGCTGTGTTAGAACAAAAGCTCTTGAATGTAAACCGATGAGAGCCAATGGTGAGGAACTGCAATCAAACATTCGTATAAGTATGTCATGCTTAAGGAAAACCAATGCATGTAACACGTGGTAAAGATCTGAGTTTGCTCGTGCAGAATGCTGCTTGAGTCACATGGATGTCACGACGTGTGAGTGCACTTTGTTTTTCACCGCAGGCATCTGGGCCACAGACCTCAGTACTTGCCTCTGGAGAACGGTTTCGATGAATGGTTTGGTGCACCGGACTGCCACTTTGGTCCTTACAACAGCAGCATCAGACCCAACATCCCGGTCTACAACAACTCTGAGATGCTTGGCAGGTAGGATCACACACAAGCGCTCGGATTTACATAACAGGGGAACAAAACAGGGCCTGGAAATCTATAAAAATCCTCTTTCCCTGGTGACTCAGTGGAGTAGCTTGGCTGGCTGCTCCTCCGGATGAGTTGAGTGTCTCCCCTCCTCTTCCGTCTCTGTACCAGCTGTGCTTGTGTATTCCATTTTCCGCCCATTTGTTTTCCCCAAAACAGCCATATGTGTATTCAGGGTCACTGGAACTGGCAGCCGGGCGTGTTTTTCGCTTAGCTGTGGGTTTAATCAGCGCTGCATACCTGGGCCCTGGACAGAAATACACACACACACACACACACACACACACACACACACACACACACACACATAGACGCGCGCACACACAAAGACACACACTTTTCGCCCCTCTAGAGACGGCAGGTTGCGTCGGCTGTGTGCGAGGACACCTGGAAGAAGTGAAGCGTAGGAAAGAGAGACGCCTGTCACTGCTTCTCTGCTCGCCACGCTCCAGCAGCGCCTCGCGACGGCTCCCTCTGCTCGGCTCTGCTGAGACTCCCTCAGAATATCTTTGAATAAAATCTGCTGCAAACGCCGTCCGCCAGAGGGAAATTTGCCCCCGTTGTCTTAGCGGTGTAGTTTGCAGTTAGCTCCGGTCAATTGAGAGGGAGATTGAACGCCCAGACGACACAGAGCCGTTTCATGCGGTTGAGTAAGCGGAGGAGAAGTCGAGCGGTTTGGGGGTCAGCAGGTACTCCGGTGGGATGATATATAAGTAACGACGAAGGCTTATTGAATGAATCGTGTCAATTCCCTTGTTTTCCAGATACTATGAGGAGTTTAAGATTGACAAGAAGACCGGGGAGTCGGACCTCACACAAATGTACTTGCAGGTAAGTCGAGGTTCACTCATCTCAGATGACTTTTCAGTGTAGCAGCGGATGCCAGGTACGCTCAAGAGTGTTTCAGTTCACCTCGTAAAGCAATTAAAAGAAAAGGAGAAAGTAGAATTCAATTCTATCATCCACCAGAGTGGAAAATAGTCTTATATAGGCTCAATAAAAAATAGTAACACAAAAACATAAATCATCTATTTAACAAATTGAAAGCGCAATTAAGCCCGATATTTGCCCTTGATCGTTCTGGTGCTTTTCACCAGCAGAAGTGGATGGTTGACGTTGCACACGCTCATTATCCTCCTGTTCAGTTTGTGAATGGATCAAAAGCAGCGCGCAGAGACCCACTTCCATCACGAGGGGGAAGGTCTGTCAAGTGCAGCTTTGTAAACGTCTTAGTGAACTAGCCTGCTTTCAGTAGCGTCGTTGTTGTTGTTGATGTGGCTGATTGTTTGCAAAGTGAAATAAAGGCGAAAGGGTAGAATTTGTGTGCGGCAGGAGAGCAAGAAAGCGATCAGACGGACTGACAGCCGCACCGTGAATACGGCCACAGTAAGTCACTTGACTGCAGCGCCGAGACGTTGTCGTAACACTCTCGCCCACATCTGACCTCGCAGGAAGGCCTCGACTTCATAGTCCGTCAGACTGAGGCCCGCCGGCCCTTTTTCCTCTACTGGGCAGCGGACGCCACCCACGCCCCCGTCTACGCCTCCAAGCGCTTCTTAGGGAAGAGCCAGCGAGGCCGGTACGTTTTATCCCGACCGAGCGGCCTTTTTCCTTTGTCCTGCGGCTGCGTCAGGGTGTAACCCGATTCCCTTCCTCGGGTTCAGATACGGCGACGCGGTGATGGAGCTGGACTACAGCGTCGGTCAGATCCTGTCACTGCTGCAGAGTCACGGCATCGCAAACAATACCTTCGTCTTCTTCACCTCGGACAACGGAGCCGCTCTGATGTCTGGTCCGGGCGAAGGTGGCCGCTAAACACAAACGCAAACCACGCACTCAAAAAAATGACAAGCTGCACACACACATACACATACTCGTGCAGACAATTTGAGTTTTTGTGCCTCAGGCGGGAGCAACGGGCCGTTCCTCTGCGGGAAGGAGACCACCTTTGAAGGGGGGATGAGGGAGCCAGCCATCGCCTGGTGGCCCGGACACATCAAAGGAGGCGCGGTGAGAATTCTCCAGTGATTTAAAGCTTTGAGAAAAAGCCCCCAGAAGAAAATCCAAAGTGATCACTCGTTTAATCCCCACCATCTTCTCCAGAGACAAGACTAGAACCGGGGAGCCGAGTTTTTCCCCCAAGCTCCTTAATGTTCTCCCTATCAACAGGTAGCAGGAGCTGAAATGTTCCCCGTAAAGCTTCAGGGGACGCACGGGACCGCAGAACGGGCTTGAGAGCGAGGGGAACAATTATTTCACTAATCCTCTCTTTTGAATGATTGTTGCTTTTTGTTTCATTTGTGTATCGTTTACCACTTTAACACACACACACACTGACCTAGTGGCTTTGTATCTGTTTAAATACGTTGTCGAGCGATTGAACCCCACAAACAGCAAAGACAAAAAAGACAAACTGTGCGATCGCGACCACAAAGTGTGTGTGTGTGTTTGTGTGTGTGGGCGCTTTTCTCAAATATATATCTATTTTTTGGCAGGAATTATTGCTCCGAACTCTCTCTCTCTCTCTCTCTCCTGCCTCCCCCTCCCCAATTTACCCCCCTCCCCCCCCACCCACACCGCGAGCCTCTAAGCCTTTTGCGTTCTGCAAATGACTTTTAATTGTATTAGGGGCAGCTGTGACACGGGGCTGTGACGCATAGGGATTTGGTGGAGGAGCGCGCGGAGGCTGCAGTCTGCAGTAAGCTTTGCCCCTGGCTCGTCTCACAGGGGTGTGCTGGGGCCTGATAGCGCCGCACAGTAGCGAGGGAGAGGGGGATTGGGAGCGTCTTAAGCGGCTAATCTGTTTGTGTGTTTGCTGAGGTTGGATTGAGCCGTAATGAGGACTTCAGTATCTGAATATGCCAGGCGCTCAGGATAAAGGGAGCGGGAGGGGCTGGTGTGTGTGGGGGGGGGCAAGGAAGAAGTAAAAGAGGTGGCTGGTGAAGAGAAGAGAAGAGAACGAGGGCTAAAGACGCCACACTGACAGGAATGTTGCCGCGTTCGCGGGGCTTTGCTGCACCTGTGCCACTTTATAATTGACCGGAGAGTCTGTGAACGCAGGTGGCAGATCGCGTCTACGGGATTTTAGTTTCATTCTATATGCCTGCATCTATACATATGTATGCACGTACATATGGAGCGAGGGGGTCAATAGATCCCTCCCTGAAGCTCTCGGGGGCTGTTATGATAAAGCTGCTTTATTGGAGCCACCGTTCTGTCTAAAGCTGTGGATTTATCATGTGGGAGGGAGGACAGACCGGGCACAGAGGGTCCCCTCTCTCGATTTTTTTGAATTTTTCTGAAATCTCAGTCGATCTGTTCATTGAAAAGTCCATAAGCTCTTTCCGATTTCAGCAGGTTTACTATAGCGATTGGAAACAGATGCATCTTTACAATATTTAGATTAAGGGGACGGCTTTCATGAAGGGACGGGGGTGGGGGGCTTTAGGGGATTGTGATTGAAAAAGCAAAAAAACAGTGTATCCGCGAATGCATCTGAGTGATTCATTCATTTAACCCAACTCTGTCTGCATGTGCAGGAAAACGCTGTCTCTTCTCTCACATATCGGAGGACAGCTGCAGGTGTGCTGGAATGAAGGCGCATTCTGAAGCAGGTGCAGATTCAGCATTCTCCCGGCGCCTCAGGCGCTATGGGCCAGTATGAGGAGGGTTGGCGGATGTTGGGACACAGATTGGGAGGTGGGGCGGAGGGGGGGGGGGGGGGGCGTCTTTCTCCCCCCCAATGTTGTCCAGGGTTCAAACCCTTTTGTTGTGTTTTATTTAGGCGCCGACCCCCTAAGGCCAAGCGACGGCGACGGGAATGGAAGAACTGCCTCCTTAGATAACAAACATCGCCTCTCACAACAGCGTGAGAATGCAAGAAAAGCAATGGGACATTAATAGAGAGCGACGAGTCATTCGAAATGAAATGAGGAAGAACAAAGAGTGAAGTTGAGCATGGACGGGGAGATGGGGCACAGCCAGTGAAGGACAGAATTAAAAGATGCCGCTGAAGATGAAATCCTCTGTCGGAGCCGACCGGGTCCGAAAGTTTTGCTTCTTTTTTTTTTGTCATGCAAGTTATTTCTAAGTAAATGTCAGTTTTGCCTCTTTTTGTGTCCTTTTGTCCCGTTTTCTTTTAATGGTTTGTGTGTGCCTGTGTAAGGGGGACATTAAAAAAAAAAAGTGACACGAAGGGCTAAATCTGTTGTGCGAGAGAAAGAGCGATAGTCTGTATGTGCAGATAGATCACGGAATGCATTGCAAAGCCTTTTCTGTGGCTGGTTCTGTGGATACAGAAGAAAGGCGGAATTCATTTCAGTGCTAAGGAGCTTGTGCGAGTGTGTGTGTGAGTGTGTGTCTGTGTGTCCATGTGTGCTGGCTGCTGATAGGAGCACAGCGGCACATGGCGGTGCAGCTGCAGAGGCCTGATAGCGCTATATCTGATTGTGAGCGTGCCGTCTCCCTCCACGGCTCGCTCAGGAGAGAATGGAAGGGAAGATCAAGGATGACAACGAAAAAATGTCACTTTATCTTAAAATAGTTCAAAGTTTATAAATAAAATAAAGCTTTTCACTAGGACTGCGAGAAGGAGATAAAACAGCAGCTCGCTGCAGCCGTCTGCTTGCCCGCCACTCGTCCTCTCCATAATTTCTCTCCTCTCTTTCCCTTTCCCCAACAAAAAACTAATTTAGCACGAGAGGCATTTTGGAGGCTCTATAATAAACCTGCAAGCAGAGATTAGAGAAGAGACAGCATATGTGTCCGTAGAACTGTCCCATCGTGACAATGCATTGTCGCCTCGTGTGCCGGCATTAAGAAAATGCAGCGTAAATGCGCATGCGTTGGTATTGCTGCACCATGAAATGTTATTGCTTGATTTGTGAGTAATTTTTTAATTCAATTAACGTTTGAGTCCTTGAGAGGACATTTGGCCAGTCCTCATTTCTTAAAAGTGAAAACGGCTCATCATGGAGAGTGATTGTGGTTTTCAATTCCTTTTATTCTCTTCCAGGTGAATTTCCAGTTGGCCAATGTGATGGACCTGTTCACCACCAGTCTGGCTCTGGCCGGCGTCGACCCTCCGGATGACAGAGCCCTGGACGGACTGGACTTGACACCAGTCCTGCTAAACCGGCCACACGCACTCCAGAGCAGGTGAGCACTCGGACGCTAGATGTTTCTGGTTATGTTGCCTTTACTTTGGGGCCCAAGATCCCCTTTGTGTTTTTAAAAGGCTTTTTATGGCTTTTGAACATCCCTGACTGGGAGAGCAGTGTACTTTCATCCGGTGTCATCATCAGGTAAAAAGACCAAAGCAGCTGCCCAACTGATATTTCAAACCTCCTCTCCGCTTTGAACTCGATGCTAGTTCTTCTCTGCTAACTCCTGGGACGGTGATCACAGGGAGCATTAAAGCCTACAGCGGCATGCTGATGTTAGCATCTCCTCCGTAGACATCGCGCAGCTTTAAGCACCGCTGAAGCTAAGTACAGCCGCGAGCACGACTGCAGAATCGTAATCCTGTTTTCTCGTGTGGGCAAAGAGAATTAAGAAACTCCAAATGACTTGACTACTAGTTTATTTCGCTGAATGGTTAAAAACACGCAACAGTGGGTCGAAATCAGTGAGAGTGGAATGAAATGAAATGCAAGCACGCCAATGGAAGAGCAACACATCCCCTCTCTTTTTCCCCGTCACGACAGGCCGATCTTCTACTACCGGGGGAACGAGTTGATGGCGGTGAGGCTGGCCGAGTACAAGGCGCACTACTGGACTTGGAGCAACTCGTGGGAAGAGTTTAACAGCGTAAGACTCCGCGGCGGCTCTGTCCCTCTGCGCGCTTCATCTGCTCCGCCGCGTCCTCGCTCTTTGTCTCTGCTAATCGTACTCAAACGCGCAAACACTTTCACTGTTGGTGCTATCTTGAAAACGGCTCATCAGTCGACCGCTGTGTACATCAGAGCGTAATGAATATTAATGACGGATCCCCTCGTCAGCGAACTTGCATCATTCATCAACCGGTCGACTTGTTTGTCCTGACTCCATGGAGATTGTCTTTGCCTCCGTTCACACGGCGACGTTCCTCCGGCACCACGCGGCTCTGGAGGAGGAAAAGCAAGGCGGGAGATGAGACATCTGACACCTGAGAAGCAGGACAGAGCGGTCCATCTTTTTCTCCTCTGTCCAGAAAACCATGTCCTCCTGTCCTCCCATCACGGCCCCGCTTTTCCTGTTTTCCAAGTTTGTTTTATGCCCCATCGGTCGCTTAAATTGCTCTCTCCTCCAGGGCCGCTGAATCAATAGCAGCCTCCTTTATCAACTCATGTGAACTGAAGTGGAACTTCACAAATAATGGCGTCTGATTGCCTGTGAGTTGCCTATCGATTGGTGTGTGTGTGTGTGTGTGTGTGTGTGTGTGTGTGAGAGAGAGAGAAAGGAGGAGAGAAAAACGTGAATATGAATGTTCAGATTGTCCATCGATGTCTATGTGGGTTTTATGGAGTGACTGTTGAGCTCCTTCAAGGAAAGTTAAATTCCAAATATGCTTTGTGTCATTAAGGTTGGATCCTTAAACTGTCCATCTCATTTAACTCAAAGAACATTTTCTAAGCATGATAAATCTAATTAAAGTGAATCATTGAGCTGTTTCACATGGTCAGAGTATGTTCTGAAATGTAGCTTCAGAAGGGCCGTATGGCTCGGCGTCCCTCTTTAGGCCTTAGCTGTAATGACGTGGGTTATTGATCATTTTCAAATGATCTGGACCATGACGGAAATAAACAAGGGGAGATGTGTGTCTGTGAAGAAGAACAAAATTACAGGTTAACAGCCGAGGGTGGCGCCGCTCCGTCCCGGCTGTGTTCAGCGCAGCCAGGAGGAAAATGAGAAATTTCACAGGCCCTCATCAAACTCTCCTGAGGCAGTGTTGTTATGTTAATATTGTTTGTTGTATCTGGATTGCTGAGTTACGGGAGCTTTACGGCAGCAGGGATAGCTTCTCTCCCCTTGTTGGGGAAATATGTGTTCAGTACATCAAATTTCAAATAATCAACCGTAAGGAATTAAGAAAGCTAAGAAATGATTCTCCCAATTTACTTTTTCTTTTTCGGGTCAAACAGACATCGTACTTCCTTCACCAAAATCCCCTGCTTGATGCTCCTGCAGCGTATCTTGTAATAGCGGGCGCTGTGCTGTGGTTTGAAGGCAGCCGGGTCGTATCCATAGCATTACTGTCAGGGGAGATATGGGGTCTTTGGTACAAGAGACCGATAGACCAACACAGCAGGCCTCTTCTGGCTGCTCCTGCAGGGTTTCTTTTTCATTCTTTTCTGCATTTCTAAGCTTCTGGCTTCAAAAGACAGGACAAGTTTGGATCAGAGGAGGCTCTGCAGGGTGGGGGGAGGCGAGGGGGGAGGATATCTATCCTTCTCACTCATTCGCTGTCTTTCTCTTCTTTATGTATTTTTGTGGTGCTCTTTTGAGCGATCTCAGAGGGGGGCAGCACAGTGCCTCACAGATGAATGCTTTCTCAATATTAGTTATGTGCATCACAACAAGTGTGTGTGTGTGTGTGTGTGTGTGTGTGTGTGTGTGTGTGTGTGTGTGTGTGTGTGTGTGTGTGTGTGTGTGTGTGTTGAAGAAGGGGGCAGATCTCCAGGGGGTTCTGGAGGAGGGAGAGTGACTCAATCCGGCTGCGATTGCTGCCAGACTCACGAGAATGGAGTCGGGGGATCTGGAGCGAACGCTTGGAGAGATGAGGGGGGGGGGGCACAAGGATGAAAAGTCCTTTATTTTGCCAGTTACTTGAACCGTTTCACGATGTACCGATTTTAGCTGTATAAATAACACAACCGCTTTGAAGTCATGCAAACAGGCCTTAAACAAAGAAATTAAGCCTAAATCTACATCCTGCTGTTCATACCCAGAATTGGTACGAAAATGGGATGTGATCAATTTTAAATCATTTAGTTTATTGGGTTTTGCGAAGAGTAAACTCTTACATTTTATGATTGACCACAACTATTCTGTTCGGTTGCTCTGAAGGGAAAGCTTGAGCCTTTTAGCCTAAACAGGGCCGCTCTGCTTTTTCCAATATGGTGAGTAACATTCTCAGGCCACTGGGCTCAGGCCAAGGGCCAAAAGGTTAGCGGTGATGTAGCAGACAGGGTTTATTCATTCGTCCTCACATGTCAGATTTCACTCTCTAACAGTCTATTTCATTATTGTAACAAATAAAATATTTTACTCTGCAATCAGGGTAAACTCTTTTTGACTTTTCGTGTCTTACAGGGCATCAACTTCTGTCCAGGTCAAGAGGTCCCGGGTGTGACCACTCACGACCAGAAAGAGCACACAATGCAGCCCATCGTTTTCCACCTGGGGCGGGATCCTGGGGAAAAGTACCCTATCAGGTTAGTTCCCTCAAAAGCTCCAACTCTCCATCCTGCTGGGGTTGTTTTTCCAGTGGGAGAGGAGGTGGGCAAAGCAATTGAGAGCAGGGGGGAGAAGGGAGTCGATCAGCAGCAAATGAAGAGGTGCTGCAAAAGGAACCTGTGCCTGTTGGGAGCGCTGAACGCGGATGAGATCAATGCTCGGTGGCACGAGAAAGAATGCATAGAATTGATCCGCTCAGCCGGAGCACACTTGATTGCACCCTTCCTCTTTGTGGTTGCAAACAGCTACTTAAAGATCTCTATCTGGCCCTCAGCCGTCCGGCGCACCGCTGCAAGTTAAAATTGTAAGATAAATTATCCAGGTCTAAATTGAGAGCCAGTGGTGTTTAATGGAGTTTCGTGTGTCTCTGCCTTCCCTCAAAAGGAGAGTTAAGAATCGAATCGAGCGACGCCTTGAAGGCTGAAATGAGACTTTGGCTAAATAATAGTGCAAAGAATTATGGGGGCCGTCTTTTGCTGCACACCGTCTGTGCAGAATGTTGGGATTTTAGAGAATATGACAGACGGTGACATTGTGACTTATACATTAGGATAATCTCAGTGATCACAGAACATTGGTGCTCACAGTGTACGCTTTGCCTCCCTCCTGCCATAAAACCTCCTAGATTGACCTTTCTTCTCTGCCATCTGCAGCTCTGCCTCTCGCATGCTGCTGCTGCTGCATCCTCATCTCCTCTTTGCCTCCTGCTCCAACTTCTCTGAGCTCTGTAGTGAGATTGGATGATAAAACATTCATGTTGTTTTTCCAATTGCTCACCTTTTAGCTCCGCTATTCACTTGGAAGAATAGAAAAAATGAATGAAAGAAAAGGCAAAAAGCAATCAGTACGCAGCCATGTGTTGGGCTGAGTGCTAGATGTTTGCACACACAAACCAAAAATGCCCCCTAATTCTTCACCTGTGCAGTAGAGTTTGCCTGCAAGGTCACCCCCCCCCCTCCCCAAAAAAGCTGCATGACCTCTTTCACTGTCTTTCTAACCAGCACCACACATAACCCTTCCTCTCCAAACGTTTGTCTTCCCGTTTCCCTTGTTGCATCTCACTCTTTACCTTTACTCACTCGGCCGCGGTCCCGCTGCATCCATTGGGACCGTTCCCTTCCATCCTAGATAGGTGTGTGTTTGTGTGTACACATGTGTGTGCGTTTTGTCCCCCAGCTGGACTGGCTGCCCGGCCGTCATTAATCTCTGTCTACACCTAAAGAGCCACTTAAGATGATGTAGGGCCTGTCTGCAGACATACCTTCACTACTGTCGCAGGATGTGATGCAGCAAAGAGCACACTCGCACACAGTCCCCCCCCCCCAGAACACTTCATGCAATCCAGGAGAGAACGTACGGACAAACACGTCGGGGCCTGCGTGGCACCTACCCAGCTCGGCGGATTTGGACCCCTACTGGATTTATTCAAAGCCTTTACGCCGCCTTCCACATCTGCGACCTTACGGCCCCGTGGTTAACACATCCTACTTTCCCACCGCCTGCATCAGCCTGGCGTCCCCAGAGCCTCGGCCATCCAGAGTGTTGTCCCAGCTCCAACACCGCAGGCGGCCGTGCGCAGTCTGGCCTCATCTGCTGCCTGCCACTAAGCTCTTGTGTCTCCAATCAATAGTCCTTACTGAAGTGCTCAATTTCCACCGGGGTGGAGAAGGTGGTGGTGGTGGTGGGGGGAGGGGCAGGCAGGACAGATGTATTTGATTGTCTCCTCAATTCCCCCACCTTCTGTGGTTGTTTTTGTGTGTGTGTGTGTGTGTGTTCCAGCAATAGTGTAATGAATCAGTAATCAGAGTGGTGACACACCTGAGCAATGCCCCCATCCCCCGCGGGTGCCATACATTATAAATCAAAAGACTCCATTTGCATAGAGCCTGCTTATTATTCCAGATTTTTGTCACTACACCAGTAAGCTAAGGGTTGTAATCATGATAATGAGCCGTGCTGACGATGGGATTTTTCTTATTTGTTTGCAGCGCGGGCACAAACAAATGATATTATTAGTTTTCAGATTTAGGAGATCTGCAGTGTGAGAGTTTGAGTGCATAGACAAAACAAAGGAGAACCTAATGTCTCCGGCACGTCTCTCAGTGCATGGCGGGCTTTGCGTGCAGACTTGTGTGGTGGGTATTAAATACTTATAGTAGTCTCTCACTTGCATTTACTTCTAATAAATCTTTTCGTTTCTTATCCCAAAATGTTTTGCAGAAACCAGTAGCAGAGCAGATAGGAGGGGAATGAAATATCCCTCTTCCTAAAGCTGGATTTGAGATTTTATCTGGAGGTTCTTGGTTTTTAACCAAGAGGGGTAATGCAGCCAGGGTCACTGGACGCGTAGATAGTTAGCTCATGACAAAAAAAAAAAAAAAGCCCACCAGCAGTGAGACTAATTGCAGCCGGTGCACTACCAGTCGAGTAATTGTAGGGAAAAGTAAAGACCGCGTGTATCAAGGAAAGGAGCAGGTGCTTGCTGATGGAGGAAGCCTTGCTGCCCTGTGGGAGATCTAAGAGGGGGGGGTAGGTGTGAGCTGGACAGGGCCTGGGGTTATTACTCTAATTGACACTTCACCTCACACACACGCACATGTTCCCCAGGGGCCAATCAGAGGGCTGGGTTTGCAGAGGAGGGAGGGTGGAAGGCTGGCACAGGTGCTGCTGGCGAGTGTATCAGGGGTGTAATTGCACTGCTGATATTTGTCTATCTGTGTGTCACGCCACCAGACGCCCGCTCCCCCAACAGACACACACACACACACACACACACACAAGCACACATGGCCCATTAACCCTACAGGTCCTATTGAGAGCAGCGTTCCTTTGAAAGCCTTCGGGGCCCCTGTGTTTTACACACTGAATATAATAATGCACAGAGGTGCTCGGGCTCGCTGGTGTCCGGCAGCAGTAATTGAGAGCCGGGATGGGATGGAGGTTACGTAGTTCAGCCGGCTGAGTGCGCTTTCCTAAAGGGTGCGTGAGTGGACAGCATCTGTGCGTGTTTATGTTTCTGTGGTTGAAAGCTACATCATGTCCCTCCTCTGATATAATGTGTTAAGCTTTTATGGCCGCAGTTCAATTACTATTAAAAAATACCATAAACAAATTGAGCATTACAGAGTGCGGAGAGAATTGTTAGTGCATATTTACATGTATAGTATCATTCAGCGTCGTCCTTGTTGAGGAAAAAGACATTGTTTTCGTTTTTACTTTAAATTCTGATCTTAAAATTGGCAGCTTAATTGTTTCTGAGACCAGTTCCAACTGTTAAAAAACAACAACAATGAATGGGTAATTAAGTGAATAACATCCTTCTGTTAGTTGAATCTTAAATGTCTTATATCATTTTAAATGTAAAATTTTGCTTTTGGCCAGACAAGCAAGATTTTTGAAGATGAAAATTGTGATTGTGTGTTATTTTCATTTGTATTGATTCAAAAACCACACAATTTGACAAACAATGGATGCTGAACCTATACTTGTTAGCTGTAGCCCAACAGAGTCTTTGCATTGTGTGTTTGCAGTGTTTTGACTGAGGAGTACCAAGATGTGCTGAGCAGGATCTCTCTGGTTGTGGAGCAGCATGAGAGGACTCTGGTGCCGGGTGTTCCTCAGCTCAACATGTGTGACGTGGCGGTGATGGTGAGATTTACACAAACATCTTAATGCACTTCATTCTAGAAACTGAAAAAAATAATAATGTGAAAAGAGAATCATTTAAATTCTCTGAAAATATATATATTTTTGGTTTGCTCTCTGTTCAGGCTGCTTTGAGCCTTCAGAATATGAATCATCTTCTTGGAACTATTGTTTATCGTTGTTACTGACTTGATCCAAAATGTGAATTTTGTTTGACAAATCAAATGTTATCACCTTAATATGGTAATTTTCTCTTCCACTCAAAAGAAAATCTAATTGAAGATTATTAAAGGAGCCAAATCGAACACTGGCATTGTCGACTGGACAAACCACATATTGGGAGCTTCAATGTGGATGAATTTGTGGCGTTGCACTGCCCCCCAGTGGTGAAGAAATGTAACCCAATTACAATGAGTGCTGTACTGTGATATATTGTCTTATGTCTTATCCTGTGTCATGCTGATAGGGATCTTTTGACTTTCTTTAAAATGTATTTTGTCCCAAGAAATGTCCACAAATTTAACGAACCTAAAGTTACAAGTTTAATATTTAGTGTTTTATTTATTCATTCTAAGAGGAATTGTGGAGTTTGAAACCTAGCCTGTAATCGCACTACTTTGTGATGAACCGATTGTTTCATTCATTTATTATGCTAAATGTGATGCAAACACATGAAGTAGCAACGCGTTACGCCTTTAAATTTGAGTTTTTCTCAATTGCTTAAGCACGATTTTGATGGTTTTGTTTTGTTTTTCATACAATCAGCACACCCACAAACTCTACACCTTAGATCCTTTGCAAAATGAAACACTCTTAAAAACTATACATTCATTTATCAAAACCATATTTTGTTACCATATGACGAACACACGTTGCATATGACTTCATTCTGTTTGTACCAGTTACACACTGCTGTTGAAAACACTTTTAGCAAAGCGAGTAGTGCAGGTGAAGCACAAGGAGAAAGTGCAAAACATCGCCTACATTTGCACCTTAATAAGCACAATGTCTACTCGCATCTTTTGCAAAACAATACACCCGGTGATTTACAAAAAGACACTCGTATACACTATTGACACTACACAGGACCAATGCAGCAGAGTGATGAAAATATTTGTCTCCATATACTCAAATTAGTCAAGATGTCAACGTGGAGATTCACAACAAGAAGCGAGTTCCTGTTTATATGCATTAGACAAACATACATTTGTATCCAGTACAAAAAAGAAATCTAAATCTAAAAAAAAGCTGAAAATACAGAAGAGAAAATGCTACACGTTGTCTCTTCGTCCAGCTCAATCTGGCCTCCTCTCACCCCCACTTCTCAATTGACGGCTGCGTTTAAGCAATTGGCACATGGGTGTGAGGAAGTGACAGCTTGCTACACTTCTATGTGTAATGTATAGAACTGTGTTCAGGGTTTTGCAAATCACTGTGTATTGTTTTGGCTGACATTGTGCTTACAGTGGTGCAAGTCTGGGCCGAGGTTTTGCTCCTTGAGTGTACAGTTTGGACAAATGTCTAAAACTTTTGATTTTAGGGTATTTTCAATCGTAAAAAAACTGTAAACATGATAGGATCATGTTTTCTCTTATGACACAGGATGCATGTGTGATTGTAAAGTCAGAAGGAAAGACCTATTAGGTGTAAATTACTATATGTGATCATGTTATTATGTTCTTATGCGATGGCCTCTCTCTGTTACAGAACTGGGCCCCTGCAGGCTGTGAGAAGTTGGGAAAGTGTCTCAAAGTGCCCAAATCTGAGCCCTGGAAGTGTGACTGGCCACACTGAGACATCAGGAAGCGAAACCTCAAGATGTGCCTTTCTATAGAAAAACAAAGTTAAAAAAAAAAGGATTTTTTTAAAAGGATATGTCTTGACTTGGAAAAGAAGGACATGGAATAGTGATGGCATAACAGCAAAGGCCACACAAGCTCTAACTGCTCTGGGAAAAAACTGCATCAAGAGCGAATGGTTTTAAGTCGGGATTGAAATGAAATGAGGCAAATGTATTTATTGACCAAGCAGTGAATCACACCACACAGGACTTCTGGAATAGTTTTGTATCTTTCTTGCACCCGTATCGCAACACATTTTTTAATAAAAAATATATTTTAATACAATGTATCATGACCATTGTTGGCCTGCGCGTCGTGTCATATTTATTAGTTATGTAGGTCTCGTTTGGCCTTTTTTTCGGTAGGTGTGCCAAGCAGCTGCTGTTGTGCAAATGATGTGCGGATTCCTGCACACAGTCGCTTTCGACAGCTGAAAGGAGCTCGCTTGTTTCAGGAAACAGAGTGAGCTTCCCGCCCTCTCTGAATCTGAACTCTCGTGTGAGAGGACCGAATAGCAAGCATGGAGGTGGACACTGCGTTTGTCAAATCCAAGAGGGGGATCCTGAAAGTAGCAGAGATGGTGAGACGCGTTAACACACCTCCCACCGTTTGAACATGTTTTAGTTTCCAGCGGACGCAGTCAAAGAGCTAAGCTGCTAAGCTGCACATCAGAATGAGAACCAGTACGTGAGGAAATATCAAAGTCAGAACTTACATCATTCTTATCCCATTGTTGATTTAACGGCTAGTTTATTGATATTTGTGACTCATATTTGCATACAGAGACTTATTAAAAGGTTGAAAGAGCGAGCAGATAAATAAAGGCGGTGCAGCAACATGAGACTCACTTCCTCTTTTGCATGGAGGAAGGAACGAGTGACTCGGAAGAACTGATGTGCTCGTCTGTGCCTGCAGGTTTCATGATGTCACAGATTTTTAATATTTTTAATATTTAAATGCATACGGCTTTAGAATATATAGATATCTGTATATATTCATTTTGTGTGTCCTCAGGGGACTCTGCTCGTGGCCTTTGTGTGTTTCGCAGCAGCATCCAGACCAAAGTTCATTACAGCCACAGTTTTGGAGTTTGTGATCACTTCATTGCTGTTGTTGCTGTACATGTTCAAACTCAACAAAAGGCTGACCTTCTTCTTCTGGCCTCTCATCGTGGGTGACATCTTAAAACCACACACAAGTTTCAGCATATTGTACATGTTTCGTTTTTGAGTTTTTTTGTTCTGTTCTTCTCCTCAGGATGCTTTTAATTCAGCTTTTGCAGCAGTCTACTTCATTGTCTTAAGCATACTGGCTGTGACTACATACACAGTCACAGGCACGCTGGTTGGAGGGGTGAGAAATCATTCATCTATAATTTTTTACGTGTGTGAAGTATGGATATATTTTTAAAGGCGTTCTTTATCTGCAGGTCGTTGGTTTCCTCTCGGCGGTGCTGCTGTGTGTGGACTTCTACGTGCTTTTCCAGAACATCACATTTAACAAACCGAGAAGCGAGAATCAGAGTAATGAAAAGCCGTGAATGCATTAATAACATGACATGTATACACTGAATTCACTTGTATGTCTCAACGCTTGTGTCCGTTTTCACCACATCATAATTTCAGTTTTTGTAATTGATAATGCAAATTGTTTTTTGAAAAATGTTGCCAATAAACTACTTTCCTTGGCTTGGTGACACCTTGAGTTGAGTATTTCCAGCGAGGAGGCTCAGGATTGTGTTGTATGCAGCATGTGTGTGTGTGTGGGGGGGAGCATTTCACATCTGGACCAAGCAGATGTTGCTCTTTTTGGACGCTCTCGCTGCGTTTCCGCGCTGTCACTGTTTCCGTTTCCACCAACGAGGAGCAGCATCACGCCTCCGCAAACCGCTTTGGGTTTGTTTGTTGCTCTGAATCCTCTGCGCTCCGCAGTATTTCGGGCTTTCTGGAGTTTTCCAGATTTCAGACTCTTTTTTAAATTTTATTTCTCCTCCTCCCAACCATGGGAGACATCGAGGCTCCCGACACCAATCACCCGCGCCAGAACGTCCTCCTCTCGGTGCTGCCGAGCAAAGAGTTTGCCTGCTCGAGGAAAGGAATGCTGCTCATCGCTGAAGTGGTAAGAAACGAGCAGCGGGATCCCTTCTGCGACAAATGAAACCTTTTTATCCGAGTGCGCACAAAACAAAGCGGCCAACGCGCGTGTTGGGCTCCTTTTTATTTGCTGTTGTGGAAAACGTCCGCAGCAACGCGTTGCTTTAAACGCGCGTTTGGAAAGAACCAGAACGCACGTTTAACACACGTCGTTCTCAATGCGGGTCAGTGAGTAAAGGGTGGAGCAGGTCGAGCAAGGACGACGTCGCTAGAGCTTCTAAAACTTATAAATAAACATCACACACAGCACGAAGAGCATCTAAACACATTTCCACTTGTACAGAACCATCTGTAATCCAGCTAAATGACCCTTTACGCACGTTGCTCGGCCAATTGGACCATGTCCACCTTCGCAGAGTGGCGGAAACTTTTTATTCACTGTTCAAGTGGGTTTCAACAAAGCAGGGAAGTGAGTGTGTGTGTGTGTGTGTGTGTGTGTGTGTGTGTGTGTGTGTGTGTGTGTGTGTGTGTGTGTGTGTGTGTGTGTGAGGGGGGGGTGGAGATTGGCATCATGCATTTGTCCCAGGAAGGGTCTCACTGCACCAACTGTTGCATGAACCCTTAAATTAGTGTCACGTGACAGAGCAGTCATCCCCCTCCCGGTCACATCCTGCAGTCTGTTGCCCAAAGATGAAGCCTGGAGCACAGTCCTCTGTGTGGGAATGAACACACACACACACACACACACACAATACAGCCTTTTTACTGCTGCTCTACAGTGTGATGTGAATCTTCAGCTCGAGGCTAAAATGCTTCAGTATAACACACTAATAAGGCCACTAGACAGCAGGAGTGTGTGCTGCTAGGGGAGAGTGCACACGTGGGTTCAACTTGTGCAGATAAAAAATAACCCTTGCTAAAATCAGAGAACATTACACCACTTTTAAGAAAGGACACTAAGGAAAGGAGACGAGGTGTTGTTTGCAAATGACTATTCTTGTTAGATGAACGTGGTTATAATTAGTATGATCACAAAGAGCCCCGTGTCAGTGAATGTGTGTTATACCACTGCTGTTATTCTTATCTGTGGAGGAAATCCTGCTGTGTGCTGGTGGTAGCGGTGTGAAGGGGCACATGACCTCATGTATTATGATTCATAATTCCATAATACAGTCTTGGTCAAGTGTGCAACTTTGTACACTGTACAAATGATGTAATACAACCAGATATATTAAGAGAATACCACAGTAAAACTTCACGGTGAAATCAGATTCACAAAAAATACGTTTGTTTACATGGTTGTTCATTTGTGTGCAACACCAGTAGATTGGGATATATTTTATCTTGTACTACAGCCTGTGTACTACAGCTGGAAGCTTTTGTACCAGTTGTGTTGTTTTTTTGATAAAGTGTAAGTGTTTTGTGAGCTCACCGCTAACACACGTGAGTAAAGTGTTTTCCATTCATTAGTCAGGCGCAGGCCCTGCTGAGCAGGCGTTGTTATACACAGTGTGTCAGAGCTCTGTGCATTTCTCATTAGGATGCTCAGTCTCAGCCAGCAACAGGCCCAATAAGGGATGCCGAATCGCAAAATATTATATACATTTTATAATATTTTCAAAATGAAAACACGCTGGTAATAAAGGCTGCATGTTGCTGTAAATGTGTGCAAAGTGTGCCTCCTGTCCAAGTGGTCTAAACGGATTGGTTTGTCAGTATCAGTATGCAGCCTAATGTGCTTGTGGCCTCAGGATTTATGATGCTTTTGTGAGTTTAAAAGCCCACATATGCACTCTTGGCAGGTTTCACTACCCTCAAGAGCGCCTCAGTAGACTCATGGCATTCCTTTTAAGGGCACACGCTCTGCCATCTAACCAAAGTGGATAGTACGGTTTGTTATTCTACAGTTTCTTTTTTATAAAGTGTGCAAAACAAATGATTACATGTTTATTAATTTGGCGAACAACAAAAATGTATTATTAAGCAAAACTGCCATGAATATATTTGTAACCTTGGGACCCAGAGAAAATATGGATATTTTTCCATATTTTACACGTATGACCAAACTACTAATTTGTTATAACCTCAACAAAAAAAAAAGTTAGTATACTTGCACACGGTATAAGAGACTATGACCGTTCGTCTTTGTTTATCCTGCATCACAGTCAACCAAACATCCCAGAGCCTACTCTGCATAAGCAAACATTCCCGAGCATCTAGTGGAAAGGAAGGCTTCTAATTAACCAGGATAAATCCTATCAATCCCTCACAGGATGCTGCATTTTGAACTCATAGCAGCTGCAGCAGTTTGGGGGCGTTCCTGACCTCAGGTCAGCGTAGGATGACATACCGAGACAAAGACAAGATGGCCGGCCTGTCGGAGATTACAGGGTCTGGACTTGCTTTGATTTGCACTGATATATTCTGTCCAGCACTGCTGATGGGGAGCGTGAAGCACAGCGCAGCCTCCTTTTATCGCACTGTAATGCTTGTTGCAAACACAGAACACTCTTGGCGTATAACAAGGTTTTTTTTTGTTTGCTTGCTGGCCAGCGCATGTTTGTGTGGGAGAAGAGGGGTGGAAGGGCTTCGGTCTAACAGCGTCCACGTTGCTAAAAACAATCTTTTAACAGCTACATGTCCTTACAGGAAGTGGGCCTGAAAAGGTTATTCACTCACTTCCAGCTTTGTGACAGTTTGACATTTTCTCAGAGGGAGAAGATTAAAGAAGATTCCTTTCATTTAGCCAGTCGGGTTTGAGATGTTTTATTTGTCTTCAGATCCATCAGGTGAATATCAGGCTAAGATAGAAGGCAAGGATGACACAGGACAATAATATTGTCAAGTGTCTCACTTTTGTGAGGTTCAAACTGCAGCTCCCCACTTGAAAGGGCAACTTGCTAAGAAGTGTAGGCTGGATTCCACTCAATGACCAAGATTCGGACTTCTTTGCTTTCTTGCTTTTTATTCTTAAAATTGTCCAGTTCAAACCAGGTGAAAAACCTTGAAATACAAACACAAATAGAAGGTCAAAGAAATATAACCCAAGAACCCATAATCAATTCACATACCCAACATCACATACTTAATTTATAATCTACTGGAAATTAACCTCAAAATAAGTAGAAAGAAAACCCATATTTAAAGTATCCCAAACCCAAATTAAATACATTTTTAAAACACTATTTAATGATGATTTTAACCGTACAAACTTTAGCAGCTTTTAACTCCGGTGAATACACACAAATCAATTTTATCCAATTACTTTTAGCTTGAATACTTTTTAAAACACACATTTCATTAAATATATAACATTTTATCTTGCATTTGATGATATAATTAGTCGACCACTCAAAAGCTCACTGGCTCCTTCTTCAGTCCTTGCAAGCTTTATTCCTGCAGTCTCCTCTTTCCAAGCTCTTCAATGTCGCCTTCTCACACTGCTCGCTCCTCACCGTCCTGTGAGTGAGTGCCTCCAACCCCCCTGATCCCCAGATCATCTCCACCCGGTGCATTCAATTCTCCGCCTCCAGCCTGGGAGACACACCTAAACCTGCCTCTCAGCCAGAGAGGGGCTCGGCCTGCAGCTCAACTCAACAAATAGCACTTTCAGAATATAGTATTACAATTGTTTCACCTCCCATTCTATGAATTTCTTTTAACATACTATATAAATTATGACATATTAAGACTTTTTTTGGATATATGACTTTTGCTTCTTGTGATTATTTTGGCCATAGTATGAATTGTTCACCTCTTATTTTATATTTTTCTACTGTACTGTGTATATATTGTGCATTTTTCATTTCTCATTGTATTTACTGTACTGCTGCTAGTGCACAGTAATTTGAGATTAATTGGAGATTAATAAAGTTCATATCTATCTATCTATGATGCCTTTTAACAACTTACTATACAGCAACTTTTTGGACATGCTGCTTTAGAGATGCTATAAAAAAACTATTTTTTACTTATTTTACTATATATATATATATTTGATTTCAACCGCAGGTGTTTTGGAGTGATTTTTTTTTCTCAAAAAATGTAGTAAAAGAATATAATATTAGAAACTGTGGCTGTTGATTTTGATCAGGTTGATCAAAGATGATCAGGTAAAATGTTTTTTAAATATTAGTATTCCAAGTTATTTATTACTATAACAGTTTCTGTTTTGGCCCGTTCATACTGTTCATGCTGCTTCATGGTATTTTTCTCTCTCTAATTGTCTCCCCAGGCTCTGTCCTTTGTGTCTTTCGTGTGTTTCGCGGCCTCTACAGCAGCAGCCTTTGTGACGGTTCCTCTGCTGGAGTTCCTAGCTGCTCTCTTCTTGATGTTCGCTTACTCCACCAAATTCAACGAGCGGTTTAAAGGCTTCCTCTGGCCGCTCACGGTGAGAGCAACACTTGGCACTCATGCTGTTGTGCAGAATTGTAAAACTGTCTTTCAGTGGTGAAAGACGACAAATGGTACAGTGGAATGGCGTTAGATTAATCAGAGTTTCTTGCTTGTCTGTCAAAGGATTTCATGAGATGTGTGTCTGCCTCCATCATCTTCTTCATCATCTCCATCATTTCAGTGTCCAAATATGTGGACGGTTCCTCTAAGGCTGCCGGGGTAAAGTTGACTTCTGCATCACAACCTAAACAACGCCGCATTTATGTATCAGCAACACAAAAAACGATCATTTTCTGGAATCCTCTCAGTTCTTGTTTTAAATGGTAGTTTTTAATCTTTCCTGAATTATTTCTCTTTTTCACAGATATTTGGTTTCATCGCCACCATCGTTTTCGCTTTAGATTTTTACCTGATTTTCAATGAGCTGGCTGCTTTCCTAAAGCAAGGAGCGGGGGAGTCCAGCGAGGAGCCAACAAGACGCCAAGGTCATGATCTTTTCATGTCTTTTTTTATAATGTACTATACTGTGACATTCCTTTATGACACAAAGCTTTTTATGACTTTTGTCTTTCGTTTTCTGGCATAATGTACCATACATTTTTAAACATTTGTACTCATTTATCTATCATATATACATGACATTTTCTAACCAACATTATGATATATACATATATATATACACTATTCTTTATGACATATTGTACTTAAAAAGTGTAAGGATTTAAAATTGTTAAAGGCTTATTGTTTTGTTCCAATGGCATTTTAAGGCATACTATAAAGTATTTACGTAGTCACTTTCTAGCAAAGGTTTTTCATGAAAATCAATACGTTAACCAAGTTTGGCTTAATATTGTAAACTCTCCACAACCGTGCTGATAGCAGAGGTGTAATTTCATGTTTGTTTTTTTAGATGAGTTTTCAGACTCTGATTCGGACTGAGAGCGCGGAGCAGCACCACCTGGAGATCCACCCGACGACAAGTTGGATCATTCAAAATATGATCATGTGACTGAACCTCAAATAATGACTCATATTGACTTTTAGGCAAGTACTGCAACCTAGTTTGCAGTCATTAAACTACAACACTAAATTAAAATCATTAGGATGTGGCTATAATGAAGTGAGAGAGATCAAAAATCAACCAACATTGACATATTTTTAGTATTAATATAAAACGCACATGAACAATGTACAGAAGGACGTTTGGTTGAAGGTTGGCTGGTTACAACCTCCGTCCAATTGTTAAATCAAAACAAAAGATTTACAAGAGTACATTTTTTAAAGTTAATATTTTCTTATGAATTCAACTTTTGAATTAACAGAATTCCTGGGGCTCGCGCCACATGACGGCCTTTTCTTGATCATCCCAGTTTTTATACGAAAGTTTTCGTGAGTCGAAGTGACTAAAATGTGTTTAAGACTGATGCAAAGTTTGAGTGACTCTCTGCTCTTTGTGTGTGTGTGTGTGTGTGTGTGTGTGTGTGTGTGTGTGTGTGTGTGTGTGTAACGCCACTTAGTGTATTATTACATTGTTAAATGCAAGGTATCCCATATGTGAATCTTTAGTTCTTCCACAGCTGTAGAATTACACGTACCGGCCTCATCGACTTGTATGTAATATACACTGCATGAGTGTTAAAGCAGCACTGTGAATGGGAAATGATCAGTGGCCACAAACTTCCACTTGGTATTTCAACTGTTGAGAGCAATTGGCACATTAATGTTGAAGAAAAGACTTTCACGGTTGCAATTACATCCAATAAATATTGATTATTGTCCTTTTGTGGCAGAGTTTGTTACTTCTGCAGTTTGTTTCTTTTTTTTTTTTTTTACTGTCTTGTCTGTGAATAAAAATATTTGACTAAAACAGTGAGCTATTTTCAAAATTGTCCAAATTTTTTTATTTAAAAATGGTCACTGCAAGCTGATGAATACAAATATACAGCTTATTACGCCTCCATGCTTTTCATGACGTGCTGTTCTAATCAAAGCACACGGAATTAAAAGGAAACCGGAGAGCTCTAATTTCATCCAAACATTCACACTGAGCATGTTCACCGTTTAAAGTGCAATCAGGAAACTAGTGGAAAGCATTTCTTCTGGACCACAAAACACTGTAGCAAATAGAAAGCCTTTGACTGATCACAGATCAATTCATATTCAAATCGCAAAATACGCCTCCATGATTGTGCTGCAAAGCGTACATAGTTTTACATCACTCAAATAAAAATCCATCCATGTTAGAGGAAAAACAGAATTAATGTGAGGTCTATTCATAAAAGATGTTCGGTCACCATAGCAGGACAAACAGATGTATTATAAGAAAAGAAAAGACAGATTAATCAAACTTTCTGAATCATGTGGAAACATCTGAAGAAACCATAAGGTTTTTATTATAATTTTAAGCCACAATCGAACACATTTCTAGTCCTTCTCTTGTACACACGCACACTATAGCACTCCTCTTACTGTACAGCCGTGAAGTCACCAGGAATACATCTCAAATGACAACCAGGTGGTGGCGTCATAGAGTCAATTTCTACACCGCACAAACTCTCCGCAGACTGACTACATTTAGGGGTCTTGGACAACTAAGACGACGCGCACACGTGTGTAACTGTAGTGTTAATTCAATTCAATGCATTCAAATTATATCAGACACCAACAATTGTTTACATTTCATCCTTGTTTGTAAAAACAAATATGGGATTTTTTAAAGAGAAATCAGTCAGTCAGGTACAGCCAACAAACGGAAAGAAATTTCAAATCTGTTTTGCACGCTGCATGTATGCGCTTTATAGCAGCTGCAATGTAAAATAATAGTATTTTCATAATACATAAAGTAATAATATACTGTAGATACATATGCACACATTAATAAAAGCAGTGACAATAATGCTAAAAGTACCACATTTTCATCCCACTATCTCTACCTTCAATCGACACTTTAAAAAACAACATTTCCACTTAATGAAAGTCTCAGTTACAGTAATTTTTTATCTGTGTGACAAGATGGCGTTAAGAAACAGCGTTCAGTTCGAGGCACCCTGTGATTTCATTTAAAATTCTTTTTTAAAGTTTCAAAGAAGGTCAATACCTGAGGAACAGTCTGTTTAGGCAACGGTCTCCACCACTGATTTCAAACCCAATCTCACTGATGCACCGTCACCATCCCCGTTACCTGCAGCCGTGGATTCAGTGCAAAAGCAACAAGCTACCAACGACTCCATCGCTCCCGGCTCATTGTTGCCCGAACAGACCTTGTGATTAAAACTTTAGGACCGCTAGAGTGAATATTTTGGGGATAGTTGACACACACACTGGGATGGAATAGATGCCATGAGGTACTTTTATATTTTGGTCTCGTAAGTGTGTCGAATCCAGTGGATGCATCCGTGTCGCAAAGAATGAACTTGTTGTGTTATTGCAGGTAAGAATGACCTTGTTCTGTTACTTTATAACTGCTGGCAGGAGAGATTTTAACAGCGGGTAAAGGTCACACGTCAAAGGCCTTTGTGAAGCCAGTCATGAAGAATCTTTAGATGAACGTATCTACAGCCTTGCTCACAGGTAGAAACACAAGGCTAATGTCATTCTCTGGAAAAGGGAACAGTAAAGTTCTGGCGCTTCTGTTGTGCTGCGGGTCGCCGGTGTGTTGCCGGTCCGGTGCTTTCCTGAAGCCACGGTCACATTTAATACCACGGGCCTCGCAGCCAGCAGCGGGAAATAAGCAAACTGTACAAAGGCTGACCATCTTTAAGTGGACGTCTTTCACAGTGAAACACCCATTAGTGCGCAGTTGGAGTGAAGTCGGCCTCTTTTCGTGGAAGGGATCCTTCATACTGACTTAGAAAGATGGATGGAAAGTTCTGCAGAGAATACCTTAAGGTCCGTCTGGAGCCCTCCACTTCTCCGGAGTGTCACTGAAGAAAAGGCGCCCGATAACAAACAAAGCCTCAGAGCTCAAGTTGACATGAAGGTTCATTCAGTGGCCGGCAGGCAGAAAGCGCGGCTGAGATGTTGTCACGAGAAGTCTCAAGCCCGTGGGGAGACCTGGAGATGACCGTTCCACTCAACACTTGAATGAAATACTTTCCTTCAGTCTGATTGTCCAGCAGCACTCACGCCAGCTCAGGTCTCGCCTCCATTTCTCCGCGAGATGCCGTGCGCGCTCGCATGTATTCGCTGGTCTGAGCCGTCCCCGGACACCCGTTGCCACGGCGCCACCTCCGTACCGCCAGGAAGGTGTTTACACCGTACACAGCGGTCACCAGGAAGCCAAAGATCTGCATTCGAGTGGTAACAGGAAGTAGAACAACAAGGTCTGAATTTGAATGGCCACACAGATCCATTACAAACTTGATTTAGGAACAAAAATATGTGTGGTTCGAAAAAAATAAGGCTTACATGTTTTGAATTGCATGAATAGACAAAAGAATTTTGCTTGCAAAAAACATATGATAACGACAAGGTCATTCAGGTTAGCCAGCACGTGCTATCTGCTCAGCAATCAGGGAGCATGTGACCCAGAGCACCAGGACCTACCAGGCACCAGATAATACAATGATCCAGTCACACAAAACACAAGCAGACAGTTCGTGTGCTCTGCACGCGCACACGCACACACAGTAAACACACACGGTAAAGAGTTCTTAAAGAGATCTTTGAGTCTATCATCAGAATATTGTGGGGAATGAATTCTTAATGTGGTTTGACAGGGAAGTTAATGAAGGAGGTTTCTAAAGACGTCCGTCTACTCACCAGTGCTGCTATTTCAGCTCCAGTGTTATGGTTGATGCAGGCCAGCACAAGAGACGACAAGAAGAAAAAGAAGGTGCTGGCTGCCGTGTTAACCAGGTCCTACAGGGACACAGAAAAACAAAAAAGTTTACATTAGAAAGCAGATGATCAGCAGCACCATGTTTGTACTACTAATGTAGCATAAATTAAAAAAAGGATTTCCTATAATCTATAATCTGATCAAAAGAGTGAAAATGAGAGCAATGAACCATCATGTATACAAACATTTTTTAATATATATATATAAAGTATCAAAGATAACTGAAATGTTTTACAAACTGAATGCTGCACATAAAGGTGATGGAGCTGCGTCAATGCGAACATCAAACTACAGATGGATTCATCCCTGTGAGAGAAAACACACTATCGAGGCCGATGCCACGTCCAGGACATCCCGCTAAACTTTCACCCCTAAACCTGCAGGAGGGCAAAAGACGCCAACAGCACGTACTGAAGAGCCACCTGGCACCTCGTTTCACACACAACTCACAACCCACCCTCCCCTTTACACATGAGCGGGGGAATGAAAGAGTTTGGTGTTTTACTCTTCTTGTCTACAGGCAGTTAGGGGAGGGCTAATAACGCAGCGCGTGACTGGGGCTCGGCCCGCGTGACCAGAGGCGTGACAGACGACATGCAAGGCTCACGCAACAGCGGCGTTAAAAACGCAGAAACCGACACAGCAGACAACTCAGTTGGATGGAAAAACTTTGCAACTGATAAAAAAAAAAAAAAAAGTAATGCATTGATACACGCAACACTTCATGTCGGCACAGTCTGTGTACAATAAAACCCCACCCGACACACACACACACACACACACACACACACTATCTATCTCGTCCAACTGGTTGGACAGGAAATACTGTTTAACATTCCAGTGAGCCGTTCCCATGTGTACAAAGGCTTTTCTACAACCGTCAGATCCCATTTTCTCTTTAGATCCAGTCCCTGAAGTTCACCCCGAACCTCTCGGCTTTACTCAGTGCCGAAATTCCTCATTTGAACCAGGCCTGTAAAACCTTAGTCAACAAAAGCACAGACTAGACCAAACCGCTGGCTCCGGGGCTTTTTTTTCTATCTCCCCCTGCCAAACAGTTGCTGATTTTGTAACATGGACAGCGAAAAACATACAAAAGCTCGGAGCTAAATTCATTTTTGGTTTGTAAACTCCAACAAGTTGTCTCACAGAAGAGACCAGGATCCGAACCGTCACCAGCAGTCAGTGCTCATGTTGCTTTTAGAAACAGGTTTTTGCAATAACAAAGGCAGGGCAGTTGTAAATGGATTGTCCTTCTATGGTGCTTTATTTGCATAAAACAAGGTATGATTCCATGTAACTGTATGTGGTTCTACGTGTCCGCTGTGCTCTCGGGTTAGAAGCTAGAAATAGTCATGGGACTGCAACTATGGAAGCCCCAAAGCACGCAGGGGAGGAATAATTAGGAAATATTTTCTTTTGACAGTAAAGCAAGTCCCACAGAGCCAAAACGCAAAAATACAGCTTTCACATCCGTGCCGGACTCTTTCTGAAAGACAAATAAAGATAGCAGGGAAGCGTTTCATGCCTTTTGTCTGCTTGGGTGGCAAACTTCAGCTGTCAAAACCAAGAAAGCTTTTATCGGATTCCACTTGTAGGTAAAGTAAGCACGACATGAGTAAAGTGGTCTACGGTCTGAACTGATGATGGATTAAGAACCAGGGCTAATGATTACCTCAAACCTCAGCTGTGTGTGCAGATTCAGCAGAGAAATGTAGATCATTACTGGCTGAATAACACAATCAAAGAAAGGATACACACACACACACACACACAAAACTCCTATCTTAGGCCTTTGCTGTTATCTGTGATAAGATCTTGGATTTGAAACATAAAACGAAGCAAATTGGACAACAGCTAAAACACAGCCAGCAGATATCTTTGGAACATAAACTGTGAACTGTGTTCACAGTGTGTAAGGCAGTGACAGATCCAGGCACTCATCCCCGGTTCATTCACGCATTAAAGGTGTCAGTTCCCAGGACAAAGCAACAGAAACACGGTGGCCACACTGATGCTCTCCTTTCAATAACAGAACAACTGCTCCATCTCCCCCCCCGGCCCCTTCAGGCTGGGAACTTCCTTCCCTGTGCTTAGGGTCGCACCATTTCTGTCCCACAACCCCCCCAGCATGCCCGACGGTCATTTGGAGCACAATGCACGGAGCAGTCCGCCCGTATGTCTCTAGCCGCTCGTGCAAACTGACCCCTGAAGCTCAGCTTTAAAAAAAAAACTAAGAGTCACCGAGTGGCTTTTCAACCAGATCCCATGACTGCATGAATTTCCTCGTTGAAAGGGAGGGGGAGGCGGTCAGGACCTGCGTTCCCCCCCTCCATGCTGCCAAAGTCAGCACAGTGGGTGAATCGGAGGAGAAGGGGTCCGCGGCAGAGGGGTTAACGTTCCCCAGAGGCCTCATGTACCTGGAGCCCCTTTGAACCTGATGGACATAAACAGCACGGGGCGTGTGGCCGACAACTGTGCAGCGGAACTGAGCATCACGGGGGTGTTAATTACAACAGTTTGGAGGAAGGGCACAGACTGCTTCTCTGCTACTGTTTACTCGCCAACAGTGTTTGTGTTGTAACACGAAATATGTTGCTATCCAAATATGGCGCATTATTTTGCATAACAGCGCGTTTCCAGCAGTAACAATGAGCAGAATTGTGGGCCGCCAGTAAATCTTTGTCTGTGAGGAATAATCTCCTGTGAGTTAGATAGCAACCCACAACCAAACTCACTCCTGCACAGGCTTCTACACACAGATAAGACACGTCGACAGTAGCCAACTTCTTGATGATTAATAACGACATGAGAGATGCCAGCGGGCCTCAGGAGTCTGAAGAGAAAGAACCAACGGTAGGATATTAGAATATAAAGGACTGGCACTTTAAACGGTTTCATTTGGCGTCATCCCACAAAAGTAGAAGCCAAAGCCCCTCCCTCGCTAAAAGAGGCAGAATGTACAAAGGATGCAATGAAGCAATCTGATAGCTATGGTTGGATTTAGAAATCTGGCCTGACATCCACTGCTTTACTACAATATGTACACTGTGGAAAATACAGGAGACATTTGCTTCTTCCCCACTCGTCTCTGTAAAGGCTACTTGGCAGCGGCTCAGAGCGCACCGGCGTGTGTACGTAGGCAAATGCTACCAGCCTCTGCTGCAGAAACCACACCAGCTCATTGGCCTACAGCTGACGGTGCATATCCTGAAGCGGTTCGCCCCTCCAACCGGCTCCATACTCAATTAAGTTCTGCAGTTTTGCTGGGAGAATGAAATTGAATTAAGCCTGATAATAATAATAAAGGGTATGATACCAAAAATACTATTTATGATGACTTTTTAAGAGCCTGCTATGCAAGGAGGGTGGCGTTGAATTAGGTCACGGGAGATGTTCAATATCAATAAACTCTGCAAGAACATAACGCTGTGCAACATTAACTACAGACCTACAGCATCCAGAGGACATATGGCTTTAGGTATATGGGAAACAAGGGTTTCTGAGCAAAGCAAGGGTTTGTCTAAGGGTTAATATGGTATTATAAAAGGAATCTCAGCATTTATTATCAATCATCATGTGGTTTGCCGTATGGTTGAGCAAAGGAATATCACAAAAACTTGGACCTATCATCATTAGGTACTATGCATCCTGGCGGTGGAACCTCTTCTTCTGCATGACAAACCCCCGTAGCACTGCCGTGGCCAGTCCGTCTCGGAATTTTGTCAAATCCCTTATCCGGAAGATTTTGTCCAAAAGTGAGTAAAATATACCTATCACGAGTCCGCCTGTACCTACCGTGAGGCTCCAATTGATGTGGGGCACCTTGGTGTGCAGGTTGAGGCTGAAGATCAGGAGGAGGACTCCGGTCACCACGACAGCACTGCAGCTGACAAACTCAAAGAAGTACACTCCTCCACAGGGAGAACACAACATGATGGTCTCTATGCAGATGAATCCGATGAGGGCCAGCACCTAAAGAGAAGAGAAGGAGTAAGAAGAGATCCATCAAACCCATGTGTGTATGGCTGGTCATGCACATTGTATAGCTCTATATTCTTTAATAGAGAAAATAACACAACACAGGATTCCTGGTTGTACTGCTCTTGGGGATGAACAGGTACCGTAGCCTGTTCTGTAACTTTGGAGAGTGTCTTCCCAGATGATGAAGGGATTGTCCCAAGAATAGACCAGAGGCCGTGAGCCCATCTCTAACGTCTCACTGCTGGCCGCCTGGGAAGAAGCCTCCCTCCAGCCAGCATCCATCAGCAAACCACAGAATGGGAAGAATTTGGCTATTGGACGCGTCCCTCTTGCCGTCCCGCCTCAGACAAAACCACACGCAGATTACCGACGGCTCATAGACATAACAGAAGAAGCAGGAGAATGCCGCTAACACATTACCGACCTGAAGCAGCCAAAGTCTAACCAGTTCAGACCAGATCTGCCTCGTCTACCAACCAGGGGTCGGTTTGACCTTTTGTATTTAAATGTCATTACTGTAAATTGACAGTTGATGCTAGTGTTCGTCTCTCTGATAAATATTTGACATGCAGCCAATTGCAGGGCAGCGCCTATACTTGGATACAAGCAAGTCTCTGCTCATTAATCCAGATTAACACGCTTAGTTTTCACATTACATGGGGAAAAGCTAAAGCAAAAGACGAGAGAGTCCAACCAGCATTATGTCAAAAGCTTCATTTTGTGCAGCTGCTGAAGCCATATTAGAGCATGAGGTTGGATAGCAGTCCATCTGTAACCAGAGAGTTACACCCAAACGAGAGTGGAGGGCTGCAGGGACATCAGGGTGATGTCATTTATTTAAAAAAAGAAAAAAAGAAAAAGCATACAGCTTTTCCAAGATCTGGTGTAACAGGTGTCAGGCAGCCACAGGGATCACAGAGCACTAATCTTGGAAGTATTTTATTTTATTTCAACAGTCCCCCCTACACGACCCATTCAGCAACTCTCTCGCTCTCTTTGTCGCTCATGCGCACAAATCCTTATCTGTGGGATTATGCACGTTATAAGTCTGCTCCGATCCTCTTCTTTACACACCGTCTGTTCTGGGCACAGACTGAATTTGAGGGGAAAGAAAATAGGAAAATAGGCCTTGCTGTGAAGACTATGCAACATTATATTGTGCACTAGATCTGCCGTGGGGCCGTATGCACCAAAGACAATTACACAAAATTGTCAAATAGACTTCAGCAGCCAGCCGCAATCATTTGTGTGAGGGAAGAGGTGGCCTAGTAGTGGGGGGAAAGGTAAGTGCCCGTGTTGCTGTGCATGTTTCCCCACATGCATGCACAACGTCTCTGTTGTTTTTATACCTCGCGACAAGCCTCGAGTGAGTAATGTTCCAACCAGAGGAGAAATGTGCGTACGGCGTCTCTCTCAGAGCAGGAAGTGCTCGCTGACATTTGGGAGCATCTGGTAACGTCATTACAAAACATCTACTGACTGAAAAGAAAAACACTGAACCGGAATATTGAATCACCTCGTTAGAAAAGGACGGCGTGGGTTCACACGGTGAAGCAATAAGACTTGATTGGAAACATAGAGGGGGTTATTCTGTCAGGGTATCAGGTTCCTGTCAGCGTAGAGGGGCGTAAGTTGAACATCAGTTCTTTGTTGACCCCGTCAGAATAGGGGGATAAAGACGGACAGACCTCGCTCAGGTTACATCCTACTGGCGCCAGTTTTTGAGCAGTACGGATCAGCAGCCTGCGTATACATTCAAGGAAGGACATGACAATGACTATCAAATTAGCACCGGAGTCCGTGCAACAGAGAATGGGTCGGTGAAGGCTTCCTTGGCCAAGTCATGAGGAGGTACGGACGTTTCCAGAGTGTGAGGAACCGAAGGTACAACAGCTCTTGAGTGATGATCGGCCAAACTGACATCATCAGAAAGGTTTTACATTCAACCGGTCTCTTATAACGATGTGCTAATCATTACTGCATATAACTTACTTTTGTAAAAGGATGATCTATCACACTAGAACACATGACTCATAACAACACAGCCACGGAGCAACTTTCCATTTAAGACGGTAATGTGAAAAACAGGCGCAGCGTTGCCGCGCAGAGACCCACGGTCAGCTTTGTGTTGTCGTCAATCACTTGGAAGAGATCACTAATCTCCAATTGGAGGACACAACAGTGAAAATGCAAGGCAGTGAAGCTCTCCGCGTTTGCCAGCGAGCCCTGCAGGCCTCCTCTTAGGTAGCGAGCGTGAGGTCGGACGACTTTCAATGGTCCGGTCCTTGGCGTTGAAGAAGATGTGACCGGTTCAGACTGGATAGTCAGTACTTTCTGTTTGACTGGCATTCAGCGCTGGTACTAACAGAAGGAACTAAGCGAGTGCTGATATACGTTTGCCTTTATGCTCCGCCATAGCTTTTAGAATTCCGTGCATAGACATACAGATTGGGGTGCAATGGCTTTCTTCATTATTGCTTTAAAAAATACATAGTTACAATATTTGCATGGCATTCTACATTGTTCTGTTTTCTATTATATTTGTATCAGGGGAGCATTGGGGATAAATGTAGCGCGATAATTTAGTTGCGGATAAAAACAAACTGGCATCGTCTTGTCGGTTGGTAATATTGTCAGTACCTGTGTCTAATCACGTCACTAAACTTTAGATTTAAAATTTCATTTGAGGCAGAAATATGCAGATGTGCACTAAATACATAAATGAAAAGGCTTTGTTATCCTTCTGCAGACAAGCCAAAGGAAATGCGATATTGTTTGATAAAGACCAAGCCAATGACTGTTACTACCCGCTCCAAACCTGATGACAGATGGCTTCCTATCCTTCTCGCCCATGTACTCCAGAGGTAAACATCACAGATGTGTGCAACTGTGAAGGCTCGCTGTGCACGTCGGTTAGAAAAGTGGGACACGCACTGTCAAAAGCTATTTCAAAACCTAAGCGCAGCAGAACAGCCACAACTGTGCAGTTTGTATTTCTAGTTAGCCTGCGCTGTCCACAAACACTGTTAGAGGTAATTGCTAGCTTCCTCCACTCCTTGGGTTTTCCTGTTGTGGACACACTACATCATGTGTGCAGGCCTGTGTGTTTTTTGGCACCAGAAAAGAAATGGCTCCGGCTCGATAGATATTTCCTCCTGCGGTGAACTGCCAGAGCTTTGAGAGCCCTTGTCTTGCTTTGTTGGTTCCTCGGGCCCGGTTCAGACATCACGTTATGACGCGATATCGATACTGACACAACAGTGAGAATGTGTTTACCCCCCCGGAACCACTACATCCTGACACATGCACGGTACAGTCCATCACCAGGGGGCATTTTTGAAAAGGCCCCACAGCAGAAAGCACACACACACACACACACACACACACACACACACACACACACACACACACACACACACACAGGAAAGGTTATTTTATATCAAAGTTACTTGCAAACGTAGGCCAGGATCCCACCGAGATGCCCGCTCGACCACAAGAGACAGGCACGACATCACAAACCACATTGGATCCTTGTAAACCAGCTGTGGGGGGAGACCAGTAAGAATACGCACATCTGAAATACTGGACCATTTGGGCCAGTGTGCATCCTTCAGAACGAGTCATTGACATGTTGAGCAGCTGAGAAGCGCATTCTGTGGATTGACCTCCGCCCCGGGCCGCTAAGTGCACCGTTAGCATGGAAGCGGCGCGACCCCCGCGGGATGTGGCGCAGAGCGAACCGGGACCTGTGGAGGCTCGTCGCCTTAAATCAGCACAGCGCGCTGACCGCCTCGGAAACCCACCGTGGGGGGTTTAATGCAATAAGGGGAGAATGTTTGCACGTATGCCGCGGACACGTTGTCCATATGTTAGTGACGGCTCGGTGTGTCGGCGTGACTCACTTTGTGTAGCTAGCTGTAGCCGCGTCTATAAACACTACAGAAACGCGCTCAAAACTCACCACTTCAACCACCTTCAGAATGCCAAAGTAGGACTTGACGTACTCCATGTCGCACCGTATCCCCCCCAAGACGTTCCTGGCGTGGACGGGCTCGGTGGTGGGCTGGTACGGGCTGCTGGCCCCGGAGATCATGGACGTGTTGGAGGCCTCGCCGTCAAAGCCCTCCGCCTCCTCGGTGCTCCTCATGGCGGCTGTCGGGAGAAGCTGGACTCTCGACTGGCAACGTTACGGCATACGACCGAACCACAGCTCGGTTACGTTTCAAGAAAAAGCGGTTTGTTCCGCGCAGGCTGGAAGCGGATGGAGGAGGAGGAGGAGGAGGAGGAGGGGGAATAACCCACTAGGCAGTCGGTCCGCTCCTCACGGCCACCCTACGGGGGGGGGCGGGTATAACACGCGGCACGCACCGGGGGGGTTTATGTAACGCCGCGCCGGTCCCTCGCTGAAAATAGCCGCTGTTCTGAGCGCGTTGGCGGGTCTCTTTCACCGCGGACGGTTCTGGTTAATTTAGCGGCAGCGGAACAAAGCGCACCGCGGGCCCCACTAACCCGAACACGCACGCACCCATTGTGGCCCGGAAGAACCGAGAGGACCGTGCTGTTGGCTGTGGTAAACCCGAGGCTCGTCTCCACCGCAGCGGGGGGGCTTTTGTCTCAAGAGTCCGTTTAAATACGGACCCAAGCGGAACCGAGGCGGCGGGACCGAGCTCTCCTGTCGCGTGTACCGGCCCGTCCTCGGCGTGCAGCTCGGGACATCCAGCCGGGCCTGAGGGAACAACTACCGTCGTCCACGGGATCACAGCGTTTAGCTGTAACGACCCCAAAGCCCCTCTAAAACAAAACGCTTAAATGTCCAAACACACGAAAATAACAACGCGACTACTTTGCTACAGATATCTTCTCGGTGGAGCAAGTAAACTTCCACGATTCAGGGATGAAACTTTGTTTGAATCGAATAAACCGCGGCTCTCCGCACTCGCTGCCCTCTGGTGGTGGCTGGTGGAACTCGAGGGTTGCCTAGGTGACCACACCGGGCTCGAGATGCTCCAGAGGACCATCCGATGCGTGAATAGCTGCATCCAAACAGCCATTACCACTGCAATGTGCGCAGTGCTTTATTTGCACTGAATACTGCCTGTATTCTTTCAACTACGGACAGTAGGAGACAAATGAGATTCAGCCTTTTAGTGCGTCAGGTAATACAACGCGGTGTCGCAAATTGTTATGGCTTTAAAAAAAAAAAGGGGGACTTGAGTAGTTGGATGGATAGGTGATTACAAACAAACAAAATTAGTTGAAATAAATATAAATTTGAGTTTCACTTTAGGATCTTTCATGAGATTTGACGGACAAAAAGAGGGAACTCATCTGGCTAGAGACCATTCCACAGTGGAAACAGGAGCACATGTGTCACTGTTTATTTCCCAGTGAATATAATCAGCTGACTGGAGGTAAAGACACCAGCTGATGACTCAGTGGTATTTGCTCTAAACAGCCGGTCTGCATGAATACTATACGAAACCAGTCTTTGGTGATGCTGTTGGTTGTTTAGGATTGACAACATGCTACAATTAGTTGAACACTATTTAATACCATTACTAGTTTATAGTTTTGTGCCATGCGGGTAGAGTTAGGGTTTGTGGAGTAATTGATGTCAATAATTCAAGCAAATCAAAGAACATTGTATGAAGACACACAAATGTGGAAATCAACCAATGTTTGGATTCTGTTTTATTGAAGCCAGGGGTCTGATAAACATTTTCCGTAGTTTGACGGCATAAGAAGCGAGAATCCACACGGCAGCATAAAGGCTACACAATTGCGTTAAAGTCATACAATCAAACTTCCGAATTAGTTCAGGACACAAAAGCAGCCATGTGTTTACAATGTATTGCTATCTTGAATACAAAAGGACTGGAAGCAGAAGCCCATCGTCTCACACGGATGAAGACTGTCAATAGTGGTCGAAGGCAATTCAGTTCGGGTGGGAGGAGCCAGCTTCCAACTGACGACTCAGTACAAAACTTACCACAACGGTTCATTATTTAATATCGGGAGCAACATCTAACCGTTACAAAGAGCGAGTGCAACTTTGAAACAGAGCAGCATGAGCACTTCATTCCACTCAGCTAAATGCTGAATTCAAAAAAGTGTGGCCATGTTATATGAAGAATACTATATAATGACATGAAGTATGGGTGTGGTGTCACTCAGGCCAGGGTTGCATTACAATATGTTAAACAGAAAGAGTCTATGGGAAAAACCTTATTTGGCAACACAAACAACATGCCTTATTAGGATGTAAACATAAACAATGAGAATTTTAATGGGCAAAAAAGGTATAACCTGAAAATGAATAGGCATTTATTTGGTTTATCTATTTAACAATGTCTTTAAAAACATCGAGCAAAAAAGGTGTCATGACAATGATTTCAAAAAGGATCGAATCAGTTTACAAAATCACCAGCTAAAAGCGGTTGTTCCAAAGTTAACCACCAGGGGCAGTATCCATAACTTAAGCAGCAAATGCAGATAAATAATTCAGTTTTACTGTGTAGATTAATGTCTAGGTTCATTACTAATCGTTCTAAAAAGGCAAGGCAAAAAGGAAAATATGCATTCTTCATCTCAAACAGTAGCAACAGGGAATTGATACAAGTGTCCAAGGAAAAGTGCTTATTTCAACATGTGGCGGTACTGCTCCTGGCCGTTTTTAAATTGTGCTTCATCCACTGGGGCAACAGACCCTGAGGCACATCCACCCGCTTACAAAAACAAAACAAGTTAAGGAGAACAAAGATTCAATATGACAAAGTAAATCTGAAATAGATGTGTAGCATCATTGATAAAAAAAAAAAATCAAGTTAACCGTTCACCAATAGTCTTACAGCTATTCCCTTACAGAGCGAATTTAAAGTGAAACACCAATTGCATTTGTAGACCGAAAACAGTTTAGAGAATGGATCATCATCTACTCTACACAGTTATGGTATTTGTTTTCCTTTGACTTATGGTTGAGTGTAGAAGGCATTTCTACCATTTTTATAGGATGTTACTCAAAAACAAGTTCATAGGCGCCATGTGAGGGTGGGGGAGGGAGGGCCACTGGTTACTTTTATGGATGAATATAAACTACAAAAAGCAGAAAACAGTGACTAATATGCATCTTTGGTTCCATGTCCCAATTAACTCCAGTTTTCCTTTTTTATGCTATTGTTTGAATAGCAATTAGCTGCTCTCGTCACACTGCAATTCATTCTGAGAATGCCACTCATGTACACTTTCCATGAGATTACGTGGGGCCTTGCATACAGAGTTGATGATAAAGCACAAGTATTTTTGATGAGATTATTTCTTTTAAAAAAAAGAGAAACTACAGAACACATTCAAGCAACCCCTTAAGGACGAACAAATGGATAAGGAGCGTTCCTGTGAAGGCAGGGTGCCCAGTGGGACAGTTAGCTGAAGGCAAAGGGTAATAATAAGAAATGGCCACTGAAAGAGACTGAACAAAAAAGAGCTGACTGGAGAAAAGGGGTGTCCCCACACGCATGAGTTTCTACAGCTACTTCATGTGGAGACCGGGAATGTTTAAAAACGACATGCAAAATACAGCGTGAATGAAACGCATGGAACCAAGCATAGGACCGGGCTGTCAATCACCGAAGGAAACAATATCCTATTTTGTTCAAAGCAAAATCATCGTTTGTCTTTTGGCTGCAAAGCGAGTGGTTGAACCCCCACAGCGGCCTTCTGGGGGATCCAAAAGTTCCGCCATGAGGTTCCTTCTTCATATCAGCAGCCTTTACAATCTATCGCTCAATTGAACTACGCCAGAGATCTTTTTTTTTTCCCCCTTTGAAAAACAACAGACCACAGTCATTAAACAAAAATGTAAAACAGAATAAATTAATCGGATGACGAGAAATGGACAAAAACCTTTTCCGCTTGTGTAGACGTGCACCTCCAATATGACCGCTAACTGTGCGAGGCACTTAGGAGTTTTAGTACGAAAGATGCAGCCCATCCTCAAATATACACACCTGTAGCGAAAGGTTTATCGTTGTTTCTTTTGCAACTTTAAGCCCATCAAATCCCAACAAGTCTCAATTAGTCAAACAGGCCATTTCATAATTTGGACAGAATTGCATTTTATACAAAAATCAAAGTTAACCTGAATATTCTTTTGTATATATATTTACAGAATCCTTCGAGATGAATCGGCAAATGATATGATACCAGCGATTTGGACTTGTCAGATTAGTGTCATGACGTCAGTGGCTTTTTTGTCTTTTTTCACACGTTTATGTGATACAGATGAATGCGTCCTCAACCCGATAACTGGTGCACAAAATGAGGAGGAGCTATGTAGAAATACAGCAGTATCATATCCAACATTTCTTTTACAGTACATATTTTTGACTTATTTTAATTACTTTTATCAAGGAATATATTTAAAAGTTAAATAACTTTCCAAATCACAACCAAATCCTTCAGCCAGATAAGCTGAACAAGTGGCCACAGGACCAGTATATTCCCACTCTTTACCCCCCAGGAACAGTGGCTGTTTTAAGCCAGAAACGGGTGGGGGGGATGTTGACGGAGTGTGCACTAATTTCTGCAAACTGACATCCCTCAAAGAAAAACATTTACAGTTGGAGGACAGAAATAAAGCCAAGCCATCAGCACGTATCATCTCATTAACACCTCCATCTCTCCTCCTGTTTCACCACAACAGCAAAATATCTGAGAACATCTGAAACTCATTTAGGTGAAACCCCTGTGTGCGTGTGTGTGTGTGTGTGTGTGTGCTGACTGATAAACGTTGGGAATTTGGTCATTTTTTTATGCTCACATGTACATGTATATTTCCGGAGTATTGACGCAGTGGGCGACGCAGCTGTTTTCGTTGCCTTTCACGCTTCATTCTCGGCCGGCGCTGGCATGTTGTTCGGTGAAACCCCGGAGTCTGGTTTGCGAGTCATCCGGTCCAACTCCGCCTGGACATCAGTCAAACCCGGCTTCTGCCCTTGGGGGAAAAACAGGAGACAAAGTCCAAAAGTAACCTCCTGTAGCCTCTGTGTGCATTTGTCAAAACGTCATCCTGCGGCCAGAAAGCAGATGGACGGGGATTGGTGCCGAGGAGGTCCCATGCTGGAGTTTGACTGCTCGCGGACACATTTAACACTCATGCAAAAGTAATGAGGACAAAAAGGAACATGTAGTCATGCATTATCCTCTCAGCTGCGTGTCAACTGGGAAAGGACGTGGTCCCAAACAGAAAGAAGTTGCATGCAGTGGTTTCAAAAAACATTATTACTTTGTTGTATTTACCTGATACAACAAAGTAAAATAAACATATGCTGGAGCTGAAAATAACCACAGTTGACATGCAAAACAGCCGAGGTCTTGAGCAACATAGAAGAGTTTAGCAAGAGAACAAAGGGATGTGACGTGGGGTGGGATGCATTAGTATTAGAGGGGCACTGATGGTAGAAGGTTTGCTGCATACAGGCCTGTCACAAGTTCCTTCAGATGGCAGAAGTTCAGTAAACGAAAACACGTTTTTTCCCCTGTTTCAGCTTATGCTCGCTATAGAGATGAAACTCCAGACAGCAAGATGGTGAACGCAGGGCCCCGTTTCTAACCCTCCACTTAGTGTACATGAAGGCTGAGATCGTTGGCGGTTTTGGACTTAAATTACCACCTTGTGGATGTACGCCTCCGGCAGACAATTCTGCAGCAGTTTACATCTGCCCAAAAGATCTTCACTTCATCATATTATGACTCATGTTGCCCTATTATGTCTAATAGGGTAACAGCCCACCCTATGCATTCACTTTTAATCTAATTTGTAACCTGGCATAATGTGAACGTTCAGATGTCAGATATGGTTTTAAAGACACACGAGATATGAAATAAGAGGAGGCTGTTCACTGGGATCAGAGCGGAGAGCACCGGAATGAGAGATGTACCTGTTTTCTTGGCGGACCCTTGGACTCCCGCTCCTACCGCTCCACTTCCTGGGCTCCCCGGGGATCCGGTCTTTTTACTCAACAGGCTGTTGAAGAAGTTAGCCAGCACTCCTTCATTGGCAGCGCCAGCTGCAGGGAAAACATGGAGCATAAAATGACGTCGGCATTAAGGAAACATCCCATTTCAGGTGAAAGTTAGTAAATAGTGGAGTAGTCGTTAGCAGGTTGCACATATTCTTACTTTATCATTGAGTTTCTAGTTACCTTCACAGCACTGAGAATACCAACAACACAGATTTTTAACAGATGAACTTGCTCGAAGTTTTTATCTTATAAACTTTATGACAAAAGCCTATCAAGGGTTTGTATTATGCGATGGGATGTGTGCCAGCCTAAAATCCCATGTTTGTGTCAGAGGGCTTTATAAACAGTGGTGCCGCATACGACACCCTCTTGTTCAGGATCCCTACTTCTGATAAGGAACAGCCTTTGTCAGACCTGATGGGGTTTATAAACGTGTCTCCAATAAGTTCAAACCACAATTGGCAAGGGGTAACGGACCCTTTCGTCAACCCACTCTAGTTTGACAGTCCAAGCCCCCTTTCACACCTAATGAAGTCAATGTTTCTGTTTGAGGCATGCAAGCTAAGGAAGAGTGCATACGTCTTATACAATTCCTTTAAGAGGTTACCTCTTGCAGAAGTCAATTACAGTTCTCAAGCAGCAGTCAAAACACTGGTTTCAATAAATTTGGATCATTCCACAATATGAATTAGCATTGCAAGCCACCGTGACAACCTTGGCAGCAAAATTGAAATATCTACGTTGAGATATGAAAGAAATGGAGCCTCAACCTTTCATGTTGGGGTCAGGCTTTTTGACAGCAGCCATTGGTGAGCTGCTGGTCGAGCTTGGTTGGCCGGCGCGTCCAGCGGGCCTGGGAGACCCCGAGGCTGTTCGTCCCGGAGAATCCTAAAACACAAAAACCAGGTCAAAACCGTGCTCATAAACAAATGGCTTAGTTTTTGCATGATTTTACGTTGAGGAACGTGAGGACACTCACTGTGGCGCCTCTTGTTGGTGTGGCCGGCTGCTTCGATAACAAAGACTGGAGAGGAGAGAAGTGACACTGAATGGTTTCATTCGGACAACGTTTACGGAGCCCAAAAAAAAATAGTTTGCTCATTTTGCATTTCTGGAAAACAAATTACATTCACCAGTATTATTGTTATGAAACTAATGAAATGCACTACAGGAAGGCGTTTTTTGTTTTGGGCTTAACTGCATTTGTGTAACCCGGTTGTACAAGGACAGCTGAACTGGGAGCTTGTTGACATCCATATTTATGTTATTTAGCGTTTCTTTTTTAAAGTGTGAGACCTCAATTTACACGAGGTGCCATCAGTGCAGATACAAGCAGGAATTCATCAAAAAGGACCTGGGGACAGAAATGATGAAATGTGCGAGACAGACAGACACTTACCTGTTGTTTCATCAGGAATACCTGCTCATCCTCGGCATTGATCTCTTTTTCGTGAACCAGCTGTGAAGAAGAGCGAAGACGGGCAGCATGCAGTTATGTAAATGGCCCTTTGGGTTGTAACGTCGTTACCTAAAGTTCCCATTTCCTCAGTATGTTTCACTGGCATTACCTTTCGTACTGGAGGCTTCGTGATGAAATCTTCAAACGGATCCTCGGGTCTGATTGTTGATAAGTTTTCATGCAAAATCCCAATTTTCTTCTCATTATCCCATCCAGATGGACTGAAACGGGAAAAAAAGGCCGTTCCAAATACAGCAGGCACAATGACGTATGTCCTTGGAAGAAAACTGCTTTATGGTGTAGGATTCTCAACAAATAAAAGAAAAAACAATGCCAGTTGACAACAAAAACACTCAAATGTTAGAATTATGTTAGAGAGAAAAATAATGCAAATAATTGAAATAAACTAAAAGGAATCTAATGCATTTCTTTCTTCACTTACATGAACACTGCATCCTTTTCCACCACTAAGGCTGGTGTGGTAAACTGGAACTCATACATTTTGTGCACTATATATTTGTAAAGCAGATCCATGTTCTTCTCCTCTTTGACTGAAGTGTAGATCAGGCCAGCTCCATCTTTTCAGTCCAGTTAAGGCAGCAATTGTTTGGGTGATCACACAGACGTGGAATAAAGTGATGATATGCCATTTACAAAAAATAAAAACATTTCTGTCAATGTGATGAATATAATTAACGTTGTGAGAGAACAAACAAATACAAAAAAGATACACTGTAAGCAAAATTGCCTAATGTGGGACTGGATGAAGTCGAAGTGCTCATCTCTGTAGTCGTGCTCCTTCTCTAGAACGCTGACTGCATCGCACTGAAGGATGACATTAAGAGAGGGAAACATACATATTTAAGAGGGAGAAATATTACATACATATACATTCAATAAGTCAGTAATTACAAATATGAACATGGTTACTGCTCTCTGCACCAGTCCATTCTGTAAGGACATCTCTCTTTGTAGTAACATACTGACAGAGGTTTCAATCGTCACGCTGAATGATTTCCACTCATACGAGCTAAACAGGGACCGCTGGGGAAAAAGGCACATTCACCATTTTCTTGTCACGGGTAGCATGCGAAGCTCTGCTGATGACTAACCTGTGCTTTTCAGAACTAATCTCTGCCTCGAGGGTTCAAAAGCAAGGATAACTGCGGCTTTTTATTAGAGGATACTCTTTAAAATTACAAAAAATAAATTAAAAAAATCATGAGGCGATTAAAGAATCCAGAGGAAACCAGCAGTGAGGACGGCATTAAAAAGGAGGCTTTCTGTTCCGGGTGCATCTTACAATGTACATATTGTAGAAGCAGGGTCAAAGATTGGTTTAGCAGAAGATAACATAAGGTAGCAAAGATTGCTTTATATAAGGAAAAAGCCACGCTGTGGAAAAAAACATTTTATGAACCCTTACAGCAACATCTGCGACACAAGTCGTCTCTGAATAGAGTCCATGGGTTCACATAAGACATTTGGGGCTGGAGGAATTATTTACCTTTGTGCAAACTATTAGCACTGGAATGCCCAGGTTGTGTGTGAGCGTGTTGTCCCCAAGTGGTAGAACAACAGCCTCGTCTTCCCCTGCCGTGGGGGCCCTTCTCAGTGGGGAGGTTGGGGCGGCATCCTCCGGTTCTGTGTACTCTTGGAACGCTTTTACCACTGGAGGAGAGACAATGGGAGCAAAAGATAGGAATTCAGACCATTTGAAAGCGGAAACGGTTTTAGTGGTTAATAAAGGGGTTTAGTGATCTCTGTAGTCCCCACGGGTCATTGTTCGAGGTGCACATCATTTATGGTAGGACTTTTGGTAATAGATGCAGACCCATAAACCTGGTTTAGTAGAAAAGTGTTAATCGTCTCTGGGATTAGAGATGAGATTATCCCAGGGACAACACACACGCATTGCACTTAATTGGCATACAACAATATGTAAACTCATGCTCGAAGCATAATAACAGAAGATTCCAAATGTAAATGCACACATGGCATCATTTCTAAAATCACACTATAGACCTCAGGAAAAACACATGGCATCGTTCAACTTCCTGTGGTGCTTTCCTGGAGCTGTAGAGGTTGTGTGTGTGTGTGTGTGTGTAGGGTATATATGAAGGAAGCTTTGGCCTACTTCCCCAGGAGCTTCAGAAATGTAGTTGGGGACAGGCCACAAAGCCAGATTGACTTGCTGTCTTGAGCAAAGTCCTTTACTTCCTAACATGGGATTTAGTATATGCAGAGGACCCACATCCTAAAGGGAAACCCTCCTGGATTACACAAATCGAGTGCACGAATACAATCTGCAGACCACACGTTTAGCATGCCGCTTTGACGCTGTTTTTCATATTTGAGTGGACGTTAATAGAATGTACAACGGAAACTAGTTAGACCAAAATGTCTAATCATCTAATCCTTTTCGAATGCCGAGACATTAAGCTTTACAGGGGGTCTGCTGAGCCAAGACATTTATTAAAAGGAATACAGATAAGGACATTTTCTGCCAGTAGAAAATCAAAACAAAGTGAAAGTGACAAAGACAAATCGTCTTAATGGTACAAAGGCTATCGGTACACAAATAAAGGTGGGGTCAAAATATTGGCACAGACAAACCGGATAACCTTCGCTAAATTAAACAGTATGTTCCTCAAGTACCGAGACTGTAGCTTGCAGTTTTTTTGTATTCCTAAAAGAAAACTTTTCATTAAAAAGTCAAACTTACTGAGTGAAAGAAAAGTAGCCTAAATTTTTCCCTCCACACCAATCCCCGGCACGTAAGGGAAAGAAAAGAGCCGTCTTGTCACTACCACTCAAGTTGTCAAGAGAACCATGTTTTATTTCAAGCTGTTGTGCAGGCAGCAATATAGCTTGATCCTGCAATTCCACTTTTGAGCAGACTGCTTGAGAGAAAGAATAACAGGAGACAGAACGTCCGGCCCACAGACTGAATTCAGACCCACTCGGTTTCCTCTGACGCTGTTGTTGGAGGGGAGGGAACCATGATGCAAGACGCCTGCAAGACTCCCTGGAAAAAAGCCGACACTTCCAGTGCGCCTGTCAGACGGTCTCTCACACACACTCATATCTACAAATATGTAATCTGACTAGGTCTCACCAGTCTGCTGCCAACATCACAACTGACATGCTGGAAGATACTTTTGCTGATATGCTTTGGCTGAACTGGAAATCCAACCATGTCAAAAAGGCCCACCGTGAGTAAGTAGAAGGAAACTAGAAAACCTAAAAATCAAAGTTAAGCCTTCTACGGCTAACACTAGGATAGCAAAAACGAATGTGTGCTGAAGCCAGAATATAGTTATAATATTTACATTTTATTTCCACTGCATTCTATAATCTATTTCAACAATGCCTATTGATAAGCCACTGACATTAAAGAAAGTTGGAAAATGCGGACCCATAAAAAGATGTTATAACACTTCTGCTTGTAAATAACAATGTGCTTTTGTCACTACTTGGCTGTTGCAGTTTACCAACAGATTTGGTACCACATGTTTTTATATTAGCATCTGAAATGCTGGGAACCTTCTCATAACTCAGCAGTCAAACTCACCTGAAATCATTAACCTGAAATAGTTAAACAGTTTGACTTTGTTGCGACAAGTTCTGTCAAGAGTTTTAAGACCTTTGATGGCTGCCGGAACCTTCTGTAAAACCCTGCAGGCTGAAATAATTTGCGATTTCCAAAAGCATTATCCCAAACACAAAAGAACTGTTCATAAGAGACATAACCAGTTCTAAAATTAAAGGGAGTGCATCGCAATCATTGATCTGCAGAATGCGCCGACAGCCAGAGCACACAGCTGAGGATCACGGGCCCCTCTGATGACCTAAAAACATCCCTGACATTGTCCAATGTTCTAATGGGTTTGCCTTCATGCTACGCATCTACCAATATCATTTCTTCTTGTTGCCAGTCTGGAACCCTGCATGTTGGGACATAAGATGCTACCCCATAACAAATCACCACATGCTTTAAGTCTCAACAAACTGAAGGCTTTAACGAAAGAAAGACGCATTGGGAATTATGAGATTTTCCCCATTCATAACATTTGACCACTTCAAATACAATCTTAATATGTCCATTTTACACTGGTCAAATACTCCACGAGGGAACAGGCTACATACATGATAGAATTAATATTTGTACATTACACACATCTATATATATCTATACATCTCATATTCATATATATATATATATATTTTTTCTTAATTTTATTTGAGCTACAACCCAGACGTCGGCACATGATTGATGGTGCAGCTAGAACCAGGAGAAAAACACTGCAACAAACTGTTGTACATTTTTTAAATAAAAGCTCCCATGACGTTTCATTTTGATACCACATACAATACAAGTCACATATGGGAAGATGGAAGTAGAAAATGACTTACTCTTCTGCTCCATTTCTCTCATGTCCTCCGGGGAGATCTTTAGCTTGTCCACATGGTCACGTAGCACACCGGCCCACTTCTTCAGTGACTCCATAATGGTCCAAGGCCGTGACATATCTGCAACGAACACAGCTAGACAGTCAGGTAGTGACTGAGCTGAAACGGCAAACTTGAGTAGGCCTTTGTGGTATAGGTCTCCATCCAGGATCCAAACATTGCAGCGAGTAAGATCTGCAAAAGGAAAAGGGAGCATTAGTATTAGACATGCAAGCTCATCAATGGTCTAAACTGCTTAGAACAGCTGTAAAATAATCACGAGTAAAGCTACAACAGGTAGACTCACCATCTCGGTCTTCATCGTGGACATTTAAGTACATATACTCCAGTCCCCTGCCTCTCTTGTTGTGATCTGCTCCTTGAAGTTTAGCTATAAGTGCGGTTTTTCCTGATCCATCCTCACCTGTAAGACATTTTTATTCATCAGCCTGCATCTTATGTTATTCATTATTAGTAGAAGTTGCAATTGTGTTCAATTGCAATTTGTGTTCAAACAATGACAGTGTATGATGTGCCGAGAAACCATAACTTCCAACTTCTTGGCTATACACAAACAAGTCTCAGCTTTACAACGTTTCCACCTCAAATAAAATGGGACTGTACTGATTGTTGGAGGCTCACGCAAGTCGTTTTGGGCCACAACGGGATTTCTTAGGTATTCATAGGTTCTCCTTTCAAGAGCGTGGGAAGAAACTCAGCTTAAAGTGCAGACTGTTTGAGAAAGTCAGAATGGTTTTCATTCGCAACTATTGTCTTTTGTGTGATTCGGGGTGGTTGGGCGGTCTGTCGGACACCACTCCCCTCGGGGGTTGACGACTACAAAACACTGCAAAAGAATAGATTTGTGCACATTTGCCACAAGTCATACTTACCAAATAGCAGGATATTTTTTCCTGATGGCAACTTTGAACTCGACGTGGTTGAAACCTCACTCAGTATTGCGGTCCTGCAAGAAGCAACCGTTAGATTGACAGTGAAGTGACACAATGACAGCTCGCTATCTCTTGACATAAGTTGCTGACATAGAAGCTAGAACCTGAGTAGTGTCTCCAAACGCTCATAGACCACTATGTGCCTGCTTCAATGTTATTATCTGGTCATCAAGCTCGGTGATGTGTCCACAACACAGTAAATCAGGAAATGATGTCATTTCCACTGATGTTCTTCACTTCGATATTAAGTTTAGACAAGGTTCTGAAAACGTGAAACTCGACGAGCTTAATTCTTAATTTAAAGTTAGCAGCATAACCCGCGTGATACGTGACGGCTAAAGCCAACGGCATTTTCTGCATAACGTCCCTTGAACCGTGTATGGTACTAACGTTAGCATTAAGCTAAGTATTTATAGGTGTTGTCTTGACATGAACTTGTCAAAGCCCTTGACACTACGAATAGCTCCCTCGAACTTCTCGTTGACTCATAAACAGAACTCGTGTCCGCCACTGACGTCCTTGGGTAACGTCAGCCACAATGCGTCCAACGTTAATCAGAAGTAACGCTAGCCCACGTCGTTGACGTTAGCTGAGCGGCTAACAGAAGTAACGTTAGCGCGCACACACTGACCGCCCCGCTTCGGTTGGTGCTAACGTCACTGCTAGCCGGGGCCGGCGTTAAGACTGCGAGCGGGCGTCAGTGACAAAGCACAGCCACGAGCAGGTTGTGCTTTTCTAAGAAGGGTCCCGGCCGGCGGGAAGTCGTTAAAACAATAGCACAAACTTGCCATAGGTTTTGTCCTTCTTCCTCTTCGTTGTTGTTGTCGGCTGAGCCCGGGAGCTGTTTCTCCAGAACGGGAGCCATCTTCTCTTTCTATAACCACAAAGGCGAGGCCCTGCTGCTGCTGCTGCTGCTGCTGCTGCTTGGGCACCACCACTAGCACCGCCTTCATCCAAGTAGCCACGGGTCCGTTGCATTCGTTGACCGCCACGCCGCGCCGGGATGGGTGCGACTCTGCACAGCTAACTGGCGTTTCAAAAGTGGCTATAAATATCGTTATCGGACACCTTTATGAATACTATTAGTATAAACATCCACTTATAATAAACAATGAAGGATTTTGGCTATTGTTTTTGGTTCAAATGTGGTTCATGCAGTCAAACACTTCTTGGTCACATGCCAATAAGTGATGTCATTGCAGGTCTTTTCTTCACAGATCAGCTGACGGAGAACACTGCGTGATATCAACAATGTAAAAAACACGCTTGTAACCGATATCACAACGATAACCGGTAGAAGTTTGATCCCCAAGACCGTAGGAACTTAATTTTAATCATCCAAGTCACATTGGTCACAATGGGTCCAACTACAAGTCAAATTAATTAAGGTGCATTTGTTTGCTTTCTTGCTGTTTAGCGGGCCACATGCTCTACTGGTCTACATGAGGTGAAATAAAATGCAAGACATCAGGCTTTGAGGGGGTGTTACCCTGTCAGATAAACACATACCATGATGGATGATCCATAGATACAGTTGAACATAAGTTAGTGATTCAATGTGCACCTTTGGTCTCAACATGTTGATTTAATTTGAATGGTTAGTTTTCATGAAGAACAAACACATAAGTAGTACAGGAATTGTACACAGTTTGAAATGTTCACTGTTGTGTGTTAGATGGCTATTTACTCTGGAAACTGGTCACAATGTCAACCATTATATTAAAATGTGTAACAGATATAAATTCAATAAATCTGTTTAGAAACCATCATCATTTTGTTCATTAATCAAAACCATTTGGAATCAAACATTAGCATAACAATGAGGCTGTGTAGTAATTTAATTTGCATTCTTACTGTTTCATACTATTCATGCTGTAAGATAATATGTCTCCAGAAGAGGATGCGCTTCGTTTTTCTATTTTACTTATTTTTCTCTGAAACTGAATGTGTAGAAATTATAACCAAATTGTTTAAAATACCTCTTCTCCCTTTCTTCCAATGGCTACTATTTTACACATTTGAACTGGTATCATATTTATGGAGAAAATCAGTAAAGTAGTACCTTTTTAAATTTCTGTCCACAAACAACAGATTTTATTGGCTGTGAATTGTCAAGTCAAATTTCTGGAATCTTGTTATTGATATACTCATACAATATATAAAATTCACAACACAAGCCCAGTCATTTTTGCCCATTCCTGCTGCCAAGAAGCGTTTTTGTCACACCTAACACCTCTTTATTTATTCACCTCGTGCTCTGGGTGAGTCTCGGGCCAAAGTGTCCAGGCCTTGTAGACAGAGCATTGGACATTTTCATTTAAGCTCTTGGGAATTTTCCAAGGGCTTCCCACGTCTGTGAGTCTTCTGACTTTGTGGAGCAGTGTGGTTGGCTGGAGTGCTGGTTATACTCCTGAGAATGCATTCCAGAGTGTTTGCATCATGTGAAATTCAGCCTTTGCTGCCCTAGTGTCACTGTTTAGCTCTGCTACCAGCATGGAAAACAAATAAGGTGGATCTTGAAACAGAAACTAGAACTTAGAGGCAGAAAAAGTATAGCATGTCATACGAGACCAAACTGTGAGTTTATTTTTCCCTTGTTTACATATTTTCTTACCCACCACATTTTTTGGTGAATACTTACTAAAGCAGGAATATTTCATTTATCATTGATGGCGAGTCATACACCGTTCGAATGGGTATATATTGCAATTGTGTAATATTATATCTAAAAGGTTTTTATCTTATACCACTGATGCCCTAATGCCACACATGTAGGTGCTGTGCTGTGGACTTGAAACAGGAGAGGGTGCTGTCCCCTCAACAATATTGTGTGTTAAAAATAAATAAAGTTATACATATTTAATAAAAACTACTTTGGGGAAAAAACACAGAACACATAAGATAAAAATGTATATAATAATAAAAGTCTCTTTAAATTACCAAAACCCTTTGAATGTTTCACATCCTGGAATTTAACACATGTGCTTTTTGAGTAAATCATCCATGATATGACAACATAATAGGTTACATAAAATCTCGAGAAAATATTCGAATATTTCAGATGTATTCTTTAAACTAACCCAGATTCTTTACTTAATCCCTTATGAGTATATACATACACTGTAACGTAACCACTATTCTATTGTAAAATGTTCTAAAAAATCAATCCCAACTAAACCATGGAAACCCCCCTTCTCCATCCAACCTGTCTGGTTGAGTTCCTTTGTTATTACTTACTAGGGTTAGTGAGTTTTGAGTAATGTAACCCTTTCGTCAGACCCATTGTTGTGCGGTGGTGTGTAATGTCTTTTTTCCAGTTTTACTGGATCTCTGTTCCTGTAAATTGTGAAGGAGAGACCTAATCTTGCATTTTCATTTCACAGTGGAAATAAAAGGGCTGCTGTTGGAAGAGATATGATATGTTTATGTTGTTGGAGAAAGAAGACATGTCTTAATTATTAGATTTATATAAACTATCTGATTTTTAGGCCTCAACCTGACAGTGGGTCAGTACGGCCTCAGGCAGAACTGTTGAAGAAGAAACCACGTTCACCTGGAGGCGCCAGTTGTTGAATTTCATTAAGTGTCAGCCCATACCAACTCGTTCTATGGGGGGCAAATACAATGAGGATTAAAATGCTTTAAAATGCTTCACAACATTAGAGTGACCTGTTGGTCCTCAACAAGAACCATCCATTCACTTAAGCCAGAGATGAGATTGCCTATAAAATACTTTAGCCTATAAAGGTGAATGATTTAGATGAGTTAATCAGAAGCTCACATCAATGTCCATGTATCACTTTACTGCAGCTGAAGAATAAAGTACATTTTTTTCTCATCATCAGTTTGCTTTATACTTTTAAAAGGAGTAATCAAGGAATCACTGTGCTTTTCGTTGGCCGTGTGTGTGCTGCACAGTCGACTTTGCTGGCATATTGCCACCTATGCATAATTTAAATGATAGCTATTATAGCATTGCTCCTGTGGGGAGGGGGTTAACAAGAGATCCTGTGGTATTACTCAAAGCATGAGCAGAGGAGAACGGGCATTTTGTAACGTGAAATTGGTGCACGTTTGCTCATAATCATTAATCAGCCCGCAAATGTATTCACACGGCAGAGAAAAATGCTCTGACGCGGGCGTGGACGGCAGAGGAGGGGTTAAGGATGGGAAGGGGGGGTCGTTGCAGACGGGGCACGGGGGGCTGGATTGTGATAGCGACAGATGTCTAGAGAACTGTGGGGAGGCACTCCTCGGTTCCCTACACAGTCCCACACTGCACCTCGGAGGCAGGGGCGGAATCCGCAGCTGTCACTCCAAAGGTTTACCTCCATTAGCGCATCCAACCGGAGCCTGGAGAAGAAGCCCAAGTGATCCCTCTCGAGAAATACAGGTCGGTCTAATGCACAGCATTGCTTCAGCTTTTTTTTTTTTTTTTTTAGTGATTTGTTTTTTTTTTTCCTTCAGTTTCAAGTGTAGGATCTTGGTTCTTTGGGTAAAATGAAAGAAAAGAAGTGAGTACGAAAGACAGCAGCAGTCTCACCCATTGTTCTCTCTTTTTCTCCCCCTGTCTTTGGCTTCCTCAAAAATGCACATTTTCACAATACAACATTCCAAGACTGCTATTGTAATGAAAGAAAGACTTCCTCCTTCCCTTTCTGTGGTCGGATTTAGATTTTAGTGCTTCTTCTGGGGTAGATTTTTTTTTTTTGCAAGCCTGGCTATTGAAAAAAAACCCTGGGATAAAGACAAGCGCAAAGCAAAAGTTATGAAGTTGTGGTGGCGCTTTATGTATCAACGCGTTGCCGTGGTGGATGTCGTTTTCCTTTTTGCCTGCTTGTGTGAACGCGACGTGTTCAAACGCTCGTGAACAAAAAAGGGCAGAGCAGCTGAGAGGAGCAGCGGTGGGCGGGTGGAAATGGGGGATGGAGACCCCTCTACAGCCTTTATCGCTCCAATCTATATCGTTTAATACTCACGGGCACGTACCCACCCCACACACTACAGTACAGGTCTATTTAGCGTTTGCTGGCACTTCAGCACAACGCATTACTTTTTGTGGGCGAGGGTCTACTGGTGAGGAATCCTCATCCTTTGTTACCGGCGCGCACATGCTGCCGACCACCTGGTGTCTTTATCTCTCTGAATGTGTGTAAAGATTTTTTTTTTTTGCGGACTGTATTGACGTGCTTAATACTGAAATTGGCTCGGAAAATGTCCGCAATGATTTAATCTAAAAGTCAGGGCTTTATCTTTAAGCGGTACATTTTGGCTTTGTTTGATTTTAAGGCTGGAGGACCAACAGGGTTTGGCAAAGAAAGGGAACATTTGAAATTAATCACATGAAAAACGAAAACGCCTGATTACGCCTGATGTTAGCAGAATTAGTTTTTTGTTGTGGTTCAAAAGCAGATAAAATGGGTTCCTTTTAACCATTGGCCCGTTCATTTGACCGTGTAATGGATGTACAGCTAGTATCCCATCATGGTACATCCTGTCATGATTGACCCATTGCAGCACTGTGGACAGTTCCCAGATTATTCATATCTTCTGAGAAAGTCCCACTTGTAGCATTTTGGATGTAATTTCCTATATTTTCAGCTTTCCTTGGAATAGCGTCTCTGAAACCAAAATAACCAACTAACATTGTCAGGCTGTGGTGTTTAAAGTGAATGTTATCTGTGATCTCTATCTGTTTAAGGACTCTTTCGATTTGTTCAGCGTCAGCTGAAACATTATCACTAAGATAAAGTTGAACTTCCAGTTCTCTTTTCTTCCACTGAAGGGAAGCTCCACTCTGTTGCAATCAGAAACTCTTCCTCTACACAGCCACAGGAGTGTTGACACATTCACACAAAGAACCAGTGTGCGACAAGCTTGTATATTATTGTTATATTTGCAGATTATGTTGCCTTTCTGTGATTCATATGTTGTTATTGAATGTAGCTTCGGGTTATGAAAGACCCAAAGCTACTCAAGATTGTATCCTTAACATGCGGAAAGAGAAATAGTTGTACATCTACAGCATGATGTTCAACTAAGAGTTGTAGGCTCATTTGGCATTGAGCCTTACTCAACATTCCTGAAAGGGTAGAGGCTCTGTTGAGTTGTCTACTCTAAATAAGGTTCCCATGCATTTACATTTGGGTTCTAGCCGAACTGTTTGGCAGTTTCCTCATTGAACTTCCAGTTTACTTCAAGACAATAGACTCCTCTCAATGCTCCTTTCTGACAAAAACACAGTTACATTTGAAGGAACTACGTCAAATGCATTGTGAATTTTGGAATTGTGTGGTGTATACATTTAAACTAGATGTATAAGAGCTCGGCCGCTTTTAAACACTGTTTTCTCTCTCATATTAAAATACACCTTTGTCTAATTGTTCCTAGGAGACATCATGGGAAACAAACTGAGCAGGAAGAGGAAAGGATACGATGTGAGCGATCCAAAAGAGCTGAAGGACGGGACCCCTGCGACTGCTGGTGGTGCGGAAGAGTCAGCTAAAGTGGAGGACGGAGCCTCGCCCGCAGAAGCTAGTGTGACCACTGAGGCAGGCAATGTGATAGAGGAAGCTGTGGGGTCAGCTGTGGCAGCAGTAACTGAAGCCGTGCAAGCTCCAGAAGAGCCCAAGTCTGCACCTCCAGAGGAACCAGCTGCAGAGAAACCTGCTGCTGCAGCTCCAGAAGAGCCCAAGTCTGCACCACCAGAGGAACCAGCTGCAGAGAAACCTGCTGCTGCAGCTCCAGAAGAGCCCAAGTCTGCACCACCAGAGGAACCTGCTGCTGCAGCTCCAGAAGTGCCCAAGTGTGCACCACCAGAGGAACCAGCTGCAGAGGAATCTGCTGCCGCAGCTCGAGAGGAACCAGCTGCTGCAGAGGTACCAGCTCCTGCAGCTCCAGAGGAACTAGCTCCTGCACCTCCAGAGGAACCACCTTCTGCACCTCTGAAGGTATCAGCTCCTTTAGCTCCAGAGGCATCAGCTCCTTTAGCTCCAGAGGAACCAGCTGCTGCAGCTCCAGAGGAACCAGCTGCTGCAGCTCCAGAGGAACCAGCTGCTGCAGCTCCAGAGGAACCAGCTCCTGCAGCACCAGAGGTACCAGCTCCTGCAGCTCCAGAGGAGGCAGCTCCTGCTGTAGAAAAAAAAGCTCCTGCAGAAGAGAAGGCAGCTCCAGTGGCACAAGAACAAGCGCCTGCAGTAGAAGAAGAAATTCTTGCCGAAGAGAAGGCAGCTGCAGTTACACAAGAACTAGCTGCACCAGTAGAGGAACCAGCTCTACCAGCAGGGAAACCAGCTGCAGCAGTGGAAGAACCTGTTATGGCAACAGAGGAACCAGCTGCAGTAGCAATGAAGTCAGCATCAGTTGTAGAGGAACAGGCCGCAGTAGAGCTCCCAGAAGAGCTTCCAGTAGAGCTCCCAGAGGTTACAACAGCAGTAGCAGGAGAAGAACCTGAGGCCATTAAGGTTGAGTGTGAAGCTGCACCTGAAGAGGTCATTGTAGAAGCTGTACAAATTGTTCCAGAGCCAGAGGCGGTTCCTGTCAGCACAGTGGAAGCACTCAAGCCAGAGACAATCCCAGAGACTGTTACTGAGCGAGAAGCCACTTCGGAGGCGACAATGGTCCCCGCGGCTGTCCTGGAATCTGAGCCAATGGCTGAGCAAGCTGCAGAGCCAGTGCTGGAGCAAGCCCCAGAACCAGAGCCGGCAGCAGAGCTTGAGTCAGAGCCACGACAAGAATCAGTAGAAGCGTCCGAGCCCGAATGTGAAGCAGAAGCACCAGAGCCGGAGCTTGAACAATTACCAGAGCCAGAACCAGAGCAAGTACTACAGCCAGAGCCTGACCAGGTGGCCGATGCAATAGAATCTGCAGCAGATGAACATGTAGGAGAATTTGCACCAGAACCAATCAAGGTAACTGAGGTTACTGAAGTTGAGAATGTGGAAGCAGAAGCAGTTGAGCTTGTGGCCACTGATTATCAGCCTGCAGAAGACCAATCAGTACCAGAGGCAGCATCTGAGCCAGAAGCAGCAGAACCTGTCCCTCAGATAGTCATCTCAGAGTCCGTCTCTGCCACCGAAATTACTGCTGAGTATGAAGAGGTAGCTGAGGCCCCCGTGGAAGAGGCGTCTCTCCCGGAGCCCGAGGTAGTAAACAAGATGGAGAACGGAGATATAAAGAGCCCTTCTGGTACTGAGGATGTGGTGGAAGTAGATGCACGTCCAGCTGTGAATGGAGAGTGCACACATTCATCCGTCCCACAGATAGAGGAATGTGTTAACGGTAATGAAAAGTCCGACGAGATGCCTATCAAGATGCAGAGTGACTCTGAACTGAAAAAGGAGGCAAACCTGAGTGGGGATGTCCGCGATGTTCCCGACGCAGTCTCTGACATGGCGGACGGTCTCAGCACTGAGATCACCCAGGCAGTCTGAAAAAAGAAGCCATCTTTCAAATCAATGTGAATTCAGTTTAATCCTCTGATGGTGCGAGAAAGCCATCAAGGTATCACAAACACAGCTAGGCTTTCTGGAATGCTCCAACCACTGCAACCTCTATAGTGGTAACTGAGGCAAAAGGAAGTTTTCTTTCGAGAAACCAAAAATGAAACGTAACCACTTCAGGATAGCAGGAGACAGGGAGCGAGGGAAAGAGGAAGAAAGGTGCAGAGAGGATGAATTTGGAATTGGAGGTTGAGTGCAGACAGAGTGTGAAACTGAGCAGCGGAGCAAAACTATTGGGCAGTAAATATGATATTAATGAATGGAAGGAATAAATTTGTCTTTGTGTGAACGCCCGAGGAATGTTGCAGAGTGGTTTTACAGGAACAGCTTTCATTATTAGTATATTATCTGATTTAGAATGTCATGTATCCTTTCTATTACTGTATGCGGAGATATGACGTAAACATTTGGCCTTTTATAATAATGGAACCTGTGAGGACTGTTCATTTTAAATTGATTGTTCGGAGTAGAGAATAAAATGAGATTGTTATAGCCTACAGTGATCTGCCTTTCTTTTCCTGCATTCTCCCAGCATCAAGTGTGTGACAAACGTCAAACGAGGCAGTGGATAACTAGCACCATTATTACATTATATGATCAGAATTTCTCACCAACTAATCTGTTGCTTGTGACTAATTTCAGACCATATAATCCAAGAATGACAAATATATATATATTTTTACTGTACTTGTGTTGATTACAAACCACTTGTTGACATCCACTTCCACCACAGTTCATATCAGCCTGAGTGGGTCAGACCTTTACCGATTTTTTTATATTTACTAAGAGCAATAACCTTTAGGTCACTGGCCACATTACAACTATGTTGTTTGGTGACTGCAACATGGCTGTCGAATGAACGCGGCCGGCATGTTGTGTTTGGTAGAACAAAAGGATTTTATTGAACCTAGAAATATCCTTCTACCTTCTCAGAGAACCTCTTTCTCTTTCACATCCCAATGCCTACCGCTGAGGCTCTATGCCATAGCCAGCACACCCTGCCAACATTTCACAGATCCATACCGGCTAGAGGGACTGAAGGGGGGGGGAGGGGCAGGAATGCTTGCAGGAGCCAGAGAGAAGGAGGTGGGGGCAGGGGGAGGCTCCTCTGGGATGAAAGCAAGTGCTATGATGCTGCGGAGAGGAAAAGAATATAGATATCCTCCCTTTTGGCAACGCACATTGTGAGACATTTTCACAGATTGAAATTGGACCAGCAACGGGGATGAGTTGGGTGGAAATTGGTGGGGATAAACACGGTTTGACACCTGGTGCCTCCTTATAGAATGCTGCCACGCCTACGGCTCACACTAATGTCAGAGATGAGAGGGGCTTTGTCATGCAGGTGCCAATGCACATACATTAACAAGAGGCAGTCTGATTATGTTGTTTTTACTCTGCATCTGTGTGTGTGTGTGTGTAGATACGTGAGCGGTGGTGAAGATGGGGAATTATGGGCGTGCAGTTTGTAAATTGGAGCATCGGCCTTAATAGAGTACGGTCATCCAACCTTGAAATAACTACTGGGCCGTGGGTCAGAACATTAGAGGAGATCTGATAGGGATGAAGGTAACCTCCCATTGAAGTAGCTCCATAATGGGCCTATCCACATACCAGCTCACTCCGGTTTCTTAAAAAAAAAATACTTCAGTTCTGCGCATTTATGAAAGGAATGTTGTGGAGAGAGCTTGGGAGCCGGGAGGATGAAATCGCTTGCATGTTTTGCAAGCGATTTCATCCTCCCGCAATTTCTGAACAGTTTGGCCCGAATGAAATTACTCACTTATCCATGTGGGTTGCTGCCGTAGGCCGGTTTGGAAACTATTTAATCCTAAAAGAAAAAAGTAGCAAAGACAGCAGCATATATGGACTAATGTTACCCTGTAAAAAATGTGATTTTAATATTTTTACTCTCAGATGGCTAATATGTGAGTAATACACATAAGCGAGTAGCACAGTAAAAACCCATAAAGAGGCAGAGAGACAGTTTCACAGATGGAAATGTCAAAAACCAAAGAATCATTTAATTGCATCTATTTAATTCATCCAACGTGGTTATATACGTCTAAAGTCCTGTATTGAAGGTGCATCTTTTTCACATTTCCCTGTTTATCTTTCCGCCACTCTCTCCCTTCAATGTGTGTTTTCATGTGGGAGAACAGTGTTCTTGTCTTTTGCATCTTGATTTAAACACTGCTTTAAAGTTGCATAGTTGTGAAAGGCCAGCTGCACTGCCTGGTTACCCCAACACTATGCGCTCTATATGCAAGCTCCTGCACAAAGCTCAGACTGTGTTCCAGCTTCTTTTTTCCCTGTGTGAAAACTAGCCCGCAGGCTTTAACTATCCCCGGTTGATGCCTTTGAGAAGCAAAAGGAAAAAGAAAATGTGAAATAAATCCAAAGGCCATATTATGAGGAAATTCATGAGACACTGACCTGTTGGGTCAAGTTAGGTATTGAATACACAGATCTAGAAGTCATTGTAGATGTCTTTCTAATAAACTCATCCATATACTGTGGGTGCTTTAAGGGTTGATGAATTGTGAATGTGTTGGCGTGTGCCTGAATGAGGTGAAAAGGGGGAAGACCGAATCAATAAATGAAACAAATATCTACAATATATTAAACTAAATAGATACAGCGTTTTTTATTCATGATTATTTAAAGGAACTTGGATTAAAATCGGAAGCATTTACTGTTGCTCTGTACAAATCACTTCCCATTTACTACATACTGGATTAGATTCACCTACTAACTTCTTATTTGAGAACCCAAACTCCTGTGTGAAATGTATTCATTGTATGATCACCTGAAAAATGCAAAAGCAAATGTAAACCAGTAGTGTCTCTGGCATGTATGTTACTTTCTCCTAATACCACAATGCAACGCAATCTATTTCAGAGACCAGCAGAAATGACCAGTATCGTGTGCAAATATTCACCAATTTACAGCTGAATATTCCACTGTTTCTGTTTCAAGTATCTATTATTGGTAGCATGCAGTAAATCTGTGATTTCTGACAAAGCAACAATCTAAATCAAAGTTCAGGAATAAAAACACCGTAGTTAATCCGATGCCCTATATGCCTCTGTGAAACGATCTTTAAGGTTGTTATTACTGACAGGGGGGGGAGTGTGTGAGGGATGACTGCTAAGACTTTTGAAGTATTTTCTGATTCAAGTAGATACTCTCCTGGGCTCCATTCACTCAGCCGGTTGATCAGATAATAAGAGTCAGATGGCCGAATAGCAGCAACAGCTAATCATTATTCATTAGTGTGTGTAAGTACACACACAACTATGGCCAGAAACGCACCCTTGCCTTTTACTCTCTCATCTCAGACATACATTGATGTACGGCAGTCAGGACTCGAGTAATTGACGTTCAGAAATGCTGTAGTGTTTTTTATGAATGCACCCCCTGGTTTAGACTGGGTCTACACAAACAACCTCTGATTTTTCTATTTTTATGTCTGTTTAAATCATTCTTTCTCGCTCTTTATGTCCGTCTTGAACAAATTCGCTGCCTTACTGTCTCCTCTCCTTTCGCCTATGGACCTGTAAATCTTGCTGGTCTCCTTATCGCTCTCTTTTTCTGGCTACGGTCACCCTCCCACCCCCAAATCCATCCATCTGGGTCAATGCGCAGATCCCGTCATGAGACAGAGCTCGGTGGTAGCAACGATCAATATTGATCCCTGGAGTTAGTCTAATGGAGGCCGAGAGTAGCAGTGATTCCCCTTTGTCTGCTCAAAGATCCCATCACCCTTAACTCCGCACACAAGCACACTTTCTGTCTCGCAAACACAAACACACCCACACGCACACACTCACGCACACGCAAACACACACACACACGAACGCACTTAGAAACAAAGACACTGCTTTTTATTCTGTCGCACTCTGCAGATGCAGCTGCTGCGCTGACTGGGCACTTTGCACGTGTCCATTTTGGTTCTGTGTGTGTGTGTGTGAGAGAGAGAGAGAGAGAGAGAGAGAGAGAGAGAGAGAGAGAGAGAGAGAGAGAGAGAGAGATGGTTTAATGTGGACGTTGGTGTTTCTATGTAGTCATAGAATGGCCAGACGATTTGACAACGTTCCTTTGTAGAAAAAGCAGAAGATTCTTTTTGGCTCATTCTCCACAGCCTACATTGTTATATTGGGAAGTATTTAATGTCACAATGTTTCATGGGTAGCACAAAAAATGAAGGGCTACATTTATTCATTGTAGTTTAGCAGCACTAAAAGCAAGCACTTGCTTGTAGAGCAGATTCACACCTGTAAAGACGATGTGTTATATTGAGAGGGATTTCAGACACAGCTCTTGGATCCGAAGCAGCTTGATAGAATTTCAGCCGTAATTTATATTATTATATACTACTGTGCTTTTCCTACATGACAAAATTTCCTCTCTAAAAAAAACACCCTTAATTAGTTACTCTAAATGTAATCTAATCTAAATTTACACTGGTGTAATATTCCCCTACAGAATAGAACTCATACTATTGAATTCTTGGAACTTCCTGCGTGTCACTAAATAAATTTTAAGGGACACACAATAAGTAAAGCGTATAGCGTATGTTGTACCCTCTTTCCAAAGTTTGGACAACACTATAATTACTAAAATGTATACTCTCAAATGGAACTAATAATGCCTAAAACCATGTAAACAACAAAGATTACATGACAATCAGTGCTGCTTTGATACCATCCTTATAGAAGACAAGCAGTCTACAAGGTCTTTTACTAAACTAACAGCTGTTATCTTAACTTAATCAATGACGGAGCGTGCATAAGTGTGTGTTTTAGATTAGAGATGGAAACTCATTCTGTGTGCAGTCACCTTGATCAAGCCTCCGGGCCCTGTGAGTCCCAAGGAAAGACGTAGCGAGAAGTCAATTGCTCGCTTTGATTTCTGCAGACTTTCTCTGGTTTAAGCTCCTCTGCCCTTTGTTTGAAATAATACTGTGAAATAATACTTTGTGTTTCTCTGAACTCCAGCACTCACCTTGTAGTTACATTTCAATGAAGGAAGAATGATACAACCAAACCAACCCACATTCAAAGAAATTTTACATTCATTACATGTTCAATTCCTATACATGAAGATTGATGGGGACTGTTCAGAAGGTCAGTGGAAAGACTGCGTTACATAAAGCTATACTCACACAACTGGTTTTAAAGGGGAACTAAAGACGACTACTTTTCTGTGAGCAAACACACCACAAAGAGGAGGGGTCATAACTTTATTTAACCTGTCTTTGTTTACAAAACAACCCTAATCAGAATTAAATGGAAAAGACTATAAGATATAAAGGCGCGGTTTGCTTTTAGTTGCAGCTGAACCTACAGGAAACGCATGTCATTGCCCCTGACCTTCTGTTATTTACCAAAAGAGGAAAAGTGGGAGCACTTTTAGCCGATCTATTTCTATATCAAAAAGTACGAATACAGTGTTGGTGCCCTGATAATTAAATTCCAGTGGTACATTGTGTCAGCT